AAGCCGATGAGAAGAGAGCATCAAAGAGGCTGGAGGGAAAAGAAAGAAAGGTGAAAGAAGGTTGGCAACGAATAAGAAGAGGGCTGTTTCAAGTGTCTGCTGCTGTTCTGCCCTGTGTTAACACTTTACGCCTCCCTTTTTACCTATTACCATCCCCACTTAAGAACTTTCCCGCGAATATGGACGGTCCGACTCGTAAAATACAGCCGCCTCTACTTTCGAGCGATACCCCGGCTGCAATACCTTCCGAATGAAAAAACTTTCCCCGGAATCTCACCGTTCGATATTTCTTGGCCGCGAATCAACTTGCCAACTGCCGGAAATATCTCGTTCAATGGCAATTTGATACGATTTCTAGCGATAAAAGACAAGATGGTGCAAAGAGGAAAGTTTGAAAATTTCTCTAAATTTTAATTTTTATCCATAGAACAGCGAAAGGGTTAATAACCTTATTTAAACCTAGACGAGCGCAGGCGGATCGATGAGTGTTATTAGATTCTGGCAGACAGCAGGAGGCAGTATGCATTGCGGGGCAAACAATGCTCGTTCCGAGGACTCGCCACGGTGCAGGATGCTTCAGACTGCATTCAGCTTCCGGTAGCCGTTCTCTAGTCGGATGCAAGTGGTGCGCCGTGTACGAACGACCGTGTCGTCTGCGGTGTACGGTGAATAGGCTCAGGCCAAGTGCCAACTTTCAACTTTGTTTACTCGTTCCGTGTACGATACGAGCGGAACGCAACCAACCGTCGATTCTACCTTTTAGCGCAACACGTTGCGTTGCTATCGTTTCGAAAAAAAGAAAAAGAAAAGAAAATCTTGCGACGTCGATGAAGCTCGTCTGGTTTTCAGCGTTACGTGGCTTGATTTTCGACGAAATTAAACCAAAAGCACCGGAGACAGAGGCGAATGGTTATCGCGTATCTTTCATTTCGAGCAACAGGCATATCGGTCGATCTGGACGGGGATGAACGATATATCCCTTACTCTGACGCTAACTAGTCGGAGCAGAGGAACAGTTTGTAATAAGGGACGGATAGAGGGCTGGATGGAGCGAGCGAACACGAATGATACAAATGAATAGCGCGTACAGAGACTTCAATGAGCGTATCTCTGCCGGAATAATGTAAACACGGAGGCAGAGCCGGACACGGTACGGATACACCTGCAGCCGTGTTTGCGCGAGGCCCGAGTGCAGTCTGCGGAGGGTGCATCGACCTTTAAACCCCGGAGATTTAATTCCTGCCTGCATCGCAACGTCTCCCCCGTGTATCTCACTTAGACGCGTTCCACGATTTACGCGCCGGACGAATGCCAAAGAATAATGCCTTTTCGACCGTCTTCTTTAAAGGCTAACGGGGATTTTTCTGTTCGATATAATTTCGGACGATTTATTAACCGAAGCGTATTTATAGCGATTAACTGCGGAAGACAGTACCGAAACTCCGGAAAAGGCAATTAATCCTTGGTGGCCCGAACTGTCGGGACCGGAAGGAAGGTTTATTGGTTTATTTCGTACCCCTCGCCCGTGTCGCGACCAAATAACTAACAAGTACCTGACGTTAAAATTCCACCGAACAGAGCGTAGCCGAGCAAGGAAATTCCGATCGTCCCGTTTCCAACCCTTTTCATCCGACCGTTTCGCGACAGATCAAAGGCAAAGACCCGTTAATTTACGCGTGTACAATTAACCGAACTCCACCGGTGCTCTTTGCAGACGTATTCGCGAATTTTCCTCCTTTTCGATATTAATTGTCCTTCGTCTGTCGCGGATTTTCCCGGACGCGTCAGAAAGAAACGTCAACGACTTCGCTGCGTGTCGTTTGTTTTTCTTTTTTTAACGGTATTTTATGCCGAACGAGGAGGAATTTACGAGCGAACGAAATGGCAGTTCATTTTAATCGGTCGATTGTTCGTTTCGTTTCTACCTGGACCGATGGATTCGAATAGCTTTTATCGGCGGACCTGTTAAAAACTGTATTTTGACAAATGAAACAATTTCGCCTCTTTTACGCCTCGATTTGGCATCGATCGATTCTGGTACGCGGTTTTAATCTGTAATAATTTCGAGTCGATCAACCGAACCTCGCTGATTATTAATTGACGAGGTATCGGCAAGAGTCTATCGTATTGTGGCTTCACGGTGATTCTATTTGATGAAGTATAAATACGTGAAAGAATTGACCCTTCTCTCCAATTTATTGATTCCCAAAAAAAAAAAAGAAACAATTTAAACTCTGGAAATCTTCGAACTTCCAGAGTGTTCGTTCAAACCTTAGTCGACATAAAATTCGTTTTACGATCGCATAAAAGAAACAGTCGTGTCGATTTCTCGTTTGGCACATAGTAGATACACCGTTGAATCTATAAAAATAGGAATCGAGTTCGCTACGGGGATGGAAGATTTACAAAAGAGAAATGGAAAAAGAAGCAGGTTGTCAGTCGGTCAGAACTAGATGGTAAGAAGCCATCCCCCAGGAGCTTTCCGGTGTCAGACGCTTCCTGTGTTCCTATCTGCCTCTATATACCTATCGATCCTCGCTCTGCACCCTCCTCTTTGTCCCATCCGACTGTCCTCCCTCTCTTTCGCCTTCCCTCTGCCCTTCCGCTACCCTCCAGTCCTCGATCTATATTGCATTCGTACCCCTCTACAACCGAGCTATCCTCGCTCCAGCCATAACGCTCAGGGTAATTTTCCTTGCATATTTATATGCACGTCTCATCGAGAAAAGTGCCAACCCTAAATGCTACTTCTTCTTTTCCTTACGCTTTTACCTTTACCTTTACGTTTCTTCACTTTTTACACCGGTTCAACAGCGTTTAACTCGTTAACTCCTCCAACTCTGAGCGGACGTTTCGCGTCCCTGATGAAAATTTCGTTACACATAAATGTCATCGTTCGAAAGGTAACTGGAATACCCTTTTTTCATTCACCCTGAACGGATCGCTGACCGAGGACTCGCGAGAAAGTTGTTGCGGATGTCCATCTCGTGGGGGGTAAAAGTGGCCACCGTAAAAACATCCTACAGGGAATCGTTCCGAAGGAAAGTTTTAGGATTCACCCTTTTCGAGCTTCCTGGTTCAAAGGAAACATTTACAATCAAGTAGAAGAAATAATTTTTGATTTTTTTTTTGGTAAAATTATTCGGTCTCTAATGAGGCGATCGAATCAAGTTGCTTCACGCGATCGCCAAGTTGTTCAACGATAATTAGAATGCAAAGGGGCACGCAGGGTGTGCATATTCGAGCAGGTGGAAAGCAGCGAGCGCTATACACGCTTTCGTTAATAATTAATCGGCTAAATGATTAATCAGCATCCAACCGACCAAACTGTCTGTGACTTAACCCTGTCCGATTCGATCATGAATAATGCATCGCGTTGATGTAACTTCGGGGTTTACTTCGATCGCAACAGTCGATAGTGGCCTAGAAAACAACCTTATCTTCCTAAGAGATTTGCATGAAGAAACTTGAACCTTCTACCTGTTTACTTTAATCCATTCTACTTGCCCGCTACGGGATTTGATTGGATATCATACCGAGATATAAAGTTTATGATTCAAGCTCAGCTCGCGGAAAAGAAATTTTTGTAAAATTTTTAGAATCTAAGATGCCGAACACGTAGAGGGAAATCGTTTGACACGGGTCATCGTGTACCATCCGAGCGGAGTGCAAAGTAATTTCCGGGAGAAACAAGGGCTGCGTTTACACGTAAAAATGAGTGTTTGGCGAACCTTTCAACCACCCTCTTACCCGTTGCAACAAAATTTCGCCGAAAGACTGCTTCTTGCCTTCTCAAGATCTAAGTATATACGCCCTCTAAAAGTAATAAATTCCATTTATTTAAATTAAAAATCGACCACTGCTTGCTGCTAACCTTTTAATTATTTCCTTCTTTCTTTCTTCTTTCTCCGTCAAGAATACTCAAGAACCATTTATACCAACAGGTGCAATGGAATTAAATCGTGTCCATGTGCGAAAATAATTTCTATTAAATTCTAAGTTGAGGAGTTAATGAAGTAGTACGACTTTACACGATTTATTTAATTTTCGTTCTTTTTTTTTCACCCCAGACACGAACCAGAAACAGCCACCCTGGTACCGACGAGAACAGGCCAAGCCACCCTCTACAACGTACACTAAATCGACGAACTAAAGTCTCCCCTGCTTCGACTCTCTCTCTCTCTTACCTTCAGCGATGGCTTTGATCCCTTCGATTATTAATCAATCGCTAATTAATCTTTCGTGATTTATATTTTTCTTCTTATTATTGACAAGGAACGGTGTATCGTAATAATTTGTTACGAGGACCACGTCAGAAACATTAACGAAGACTTAATTAGCTAATGGAAGTTATCAAAGGAAAGGGAAAAGTGTATCGAGTAAATATAGATCCTCGAAGTAATTTCTCCCGCGATATCCAAACTAAAGTAAAATTACAATTTATAAGTAATTTTGAAATGGATTTATGGGGATGTTAAACGTGTTAACAGGTGAATGGCTCTTCTACAATCACTTGAAAATAATTCATGATCGTATCGTGTTACTACTGCAAATGTAAACAGGATTAATTCGATTCAAAGTCACAAGTTATCGACGCTTTGAATAGCAGATCGACACGTTAGTTATATCGGAGGTGTATCATTAAAATTACATTAGTAACGATGTGTCGCGCTATACACCGATATTTCTACTGCGACAGGCACCGTGTCAACGCGGTTACTATCACTAGGAGATCGGCATTTTCAGAGTGAAACGTTGAACATCGTTAATGATATACTAATAACGATGATATAATTATTAAGAAATGAAAAAGAAGCACGATTCTTGTTCGGAACAGCTCGGTGGCATCGACTCGAGGGCATCGCTACTCACCACCGATTCACCTATCCGCTAGGCAGGGGTTGACGAAGGAAGGGGTGGTGGCGGGTGTGGAGCGTTGCGCGCGCAACCTACCCCCTCTGTAAGCGGTCGTGTAACACGTAATCGAACTGGGAGCGCCGCGGTTCGTCGTCAGCTCCGTCATCCGCGAACGACAGGGCTAAGAATCGTTGACGTAGAAAAAAAAAAAAAAGAAACGATTAAACGCGAGGGCGAACCAAGAATCCAATCGAGACGCAGTATCCAATCTAGGATACCTACGAATCTCTCGAGTATCCTGTTTGAAACGTCGCTCTAGTTACCGGATATAGTGACATATCGTTGGTGGTAGTGGTGGTGGTGGTGGTGCACGAGTGCGCGTAGGGTGGAGGTACTGTGTTAGGGCAGTTCGGTAGCTTCTGAAAGCTGAACGCGGTGAAAAGTCGAGTAAAGATAAGGAGGAAACGTGGAAAGGTATCGTGGGACGGGGGTGGAAGAATGAATAGAATAATCCAACGAGTGTTGTAAACGATCGAGCAAGAGTGATAACACGAGGGAGAAAAGGTGTTCGTTCGCGAGGGTGTACCGGTAGGGTGGTGAACTGCAGTCGTTCGTTGGATCCGAACGACGGATCGTCGATCCACTCTCTCCGGAGAGTGGGAAAATTTCGCTCGAGTTTCGTCGGGTAGCAATGGCGTCGAGCGTGACTCCGTCGAGGGGTAGCTCGATCAAGGAAAGTTGCACCGGTGCTCGAACGACCGGGAGCAGGTTCACGTGAGCCCACCCCATGCTACTAGACCCGTCCACCGTGCCACCTCGTGATCGAACCGACCCCGAACTGCTGCGTCGAGTATCCTCTCGAACACGGTTATCCTTGTTCCTTCTGGTCCGGTGAACCGCGGAATCAACGGACGTACACGATGAAAAGGGTTCGCAAGAGGCAGCCGCAGAAGATCAAGGACCGGTCGCGCGAGTGACAGTGTGCCAGTGCGTGTACCGAACCGTCATCCGGCTGATTCCTCGACTCTCTAAGTTCGTCTACGGCCAGTCTATCATCCCCTCTCCTCATCCGTCCTCGTCATCCTGGTCGTCGAAGGGAACGAGGAATCTCCCTTCGACGACACGGTCTGCTCGACGATCGCCATGCCGTGGAAATACGCGTTACCGGTGTGACCCACGACAGACTGGACGAAAACGAACCGGGCTCCACGAATCCCGACAAGACGAAGAGGAGGAAGAAGAGGAAGAGGAAGAAGAAGAGGAAGAAGAAGAAGAAGAAGGAAGTAGCCTGGTGGTGTTGGGTGGTGGGTGGAGGAAGGAGGTGAAGGTGGTTGGGCTGTTTTTGTAGGATAATCTAGACAAGCTGGCGGACCAGAAGGAAGGTGGATCGACGATGCAGGGCAAGGAGAGCCCCGTCGGGTCCAACACCCAGGAGACCCATCAGTATGTTGGCCCTTATCGACTGGAGAAAACTTTGGGCAAGGGCCAGACCGGTGCGTGCATCAGATTTATTTTCAAAATATACCTGTTTTTCTTCGCCCCTTCGCGAATTTTTTAAAATATTTTTAATCGGAGATTGGATTCCACCGAACGTCACCGTGGCCCTTATGGAAAAACCTTGGGAAAAGGGCAGACCGGTGATTTCTCGATAATTTTATCGTAAAGATAGACTTTTCCTTCTTCGTTCTGATTCGTTAGATTCGTCTGAACGTTAAATTGCGTCCCTATATCATGTTCCTAATCTGTTTATTACCTCGTTAGACTTTTATTTAGGGCAATTTTGAAAGAAAAAGTTTGCTAAATAAAAATCAATATATTTGACGAAGCGAGCCGAGGGATAAGTCATTTATCCGGTGGAAGGAAAAAGCAAATTTTCATTTTCTCTTAGATGTTAATCTTGTAAGAGGGTCAATATTTTCATATTACATTTTTCCCTTATTTCTAATCGTTGAAGCGACGAGACACAGCCGCGTTTTCGCTTCTGTATACGTTAGGATGTTCCGAAGACAAACAATTAAACTTTGCTGTTGTTTCACGAGTGGATGTAAGAAAAATGTGTTACATAAACATAGGCGTGGAAACTCATTATTGGAAAAGTTATAGGGAAAACATTTGAATAAGAAAGCAACAGGGAGTTTGAGCAACGATTTTTTTTGCTATAAATTCAACACTTTTGGTATAATTTCTATTTCGAACGATGCCAAGGGCGAATCGAACCCGTGCACGAGCGAATAGGTCGGGGAGTAAAAAAGAGGAAGATGAAATGCTCGGTGATTCGATCTTCCGTAACAAATTCAATCAATCTGAAATAATTCTTATTACAAAGTTACTCGAATCGAAGGAAGGAAACGTTTGAGTGTATTAAAAAGTACGATGGAAAACGTGGGCCGATACGGAACGCTAAATATACGCTACAATTACTTTCTGGATGAATGAAAATAGTTCTTCCAAGGCTTTCATGATTTATATCGGAAGAAAGAAAAATTTTTCAAAACCGTTCAATCGGAGATTGAAACGGCAGATGATGCGATCAATCGACTCACGAATCGTTGTATCGCACGTTCGCCGGACAAACGAAACAGCCGATGCGCAAACACATTCAATCCAGATTAATGATTCCACCTGAAAATTATTGGCCACTAGATTAACAAACTGCACAGTTCTGGCGAGGACAGAGATTAATTTACCTGTTCAGTTTGTACACAGTTACACCGCCTTCGTTGCTGGGGATTAAAATAGACAGCCGGTTTTTAATTATTCTTTTAACACAGTCTCGTTGTCGAGCATCGATGATTTTTCGTGAAAAATTTACCCGACAGCTAATTAAATTTTTTTTCCTTTGACGGCGGCCGAGCAATCGATTGGGCAAAAAAACGTCCACGGCACCTTGTTATCGTTTGATAATTAACGTTCCAAATATAGATAACTAATTAAAGCATTTTTACAACGGAATGACGTTTTCAATTTCGTGATTTTCAAACGAATTTCAACCTGAATTCGAGGCAAAACGAATGACAATTGCACCTGCATACAGGCGTAGGATTTAATTGCACGAACGAAAGGAGAAGGGTAATAAGAAAATAGAGGCAAGAAGGCTAGTGGTAATCTCAACGTCGAGCGATTCAACGCACTACCCCCTAAAGCGGTCAGCATCAAGAAGAAACGCGTTCGCCGCGAAAGAATACCCTTTCATTCGTCGCCTCCACGGTTTTCCATTCTTCACGGTCGCAACTGTGCTCCAGTGAACTCTGCTACGCGAACAAAGCACTCGGAGCAGACAATCGTCGAGACTTGCCCGACACAGTAACAAGATTCCAAGTGAACTACAATGTTTGTTCGCTCGGTCTATTGTTGCAACCAGGCAAAACGTCTTTACGCGGAACAATAAATGCTTTCATCGGGGTGTTTCCACCCTGACCACGCTTTTAACCTAATCTTTATTAGCTAAGATTGAAAATCTTGCGAAGGAGGCTATAGCGTTTAGACTTTCTGTCACTTTTGTACAGGCGAAACGGTAAGAGTTATCGAAAAAATTCTTGCCCCATTGCGTTTAGATTAGAAAAATTTTTTTTTGCCGTTTTTTTGTCCGCCCGAAAATGGCCGAAAAAGGGTTGGCTCTGGAGCGAATCTCGCTCTAGTTCACTTTAGCTTGTTTTATTTCATACGTTAATGGTAAACCTAAAATGGTTTGAATTGAAAAGTGAAACGATCTTTAATAACTATTATCAATGTCTGTTGTAATTCCATCGTGTCATTCAACGTGTTAATAATCTACATTGTCGTGCACCGTAATAGACACGGATAGTTCTACTCTGTCAGTCACGAATTTCATTCTAAACGAAACTCGACGCACCATTGTCTCATAGAAACTCATTTTACGTAGCGCGACAGGCTGCTGCATTAATTTACAGTTGAATTCTGTTTCGGCCCGGAATTCCACGGGAAACAGGACAAGATAATGGAATTGCCAGTTGTACCGAGGGGCGAAGCAAAAGAAATGACTAAATACATGGAGCTACGCTAATTGTTTTTCAGATAATTTTAATTCGTGCCGTGGAAATTGTTCTTTTAACTTTATATTTAACGTTTGAGGGGAAGGAAAATTGGGCTACCACCCTGGAGAAAATAGAAAACGCACCTTTTTCCAGATGGAAAATGTTTATATTCGTATCATTGAGCAATTGGGAAGAATCTCGATAAATCCGACCCTAAGTGTAAGCGTCGTAATGCTTTTAGAAGCAATAATATTCCGATGCGTTCGAAACGCATTCGAAGATGCAAGAAAAATCAATAGCTCGCAGGGCGTGACACGAGTAATCGATGCGATCGAACGCTATGCGGCAAAAGGAATTTCGCCATTTTCGGATTTATTTCACGTCCCATTTTCGACTTATTTCCAAAAGACTCTGATACAAAATCAACGGTAGAAATTGTAGTTTCTATAATTGTCAAAAGACAGAGGAAATAAAAAATTTTTCCAATTATTACAAACTAATTTGTACGATCTCTTATTCTATCGTAAGGTATCAAGGGTTGTAGACAAAAATCGAATCTCTCTCTTCCCTCGTCCACGATCGGAAATAAACGCTTGCTGGGTTCAATATTTCATGTACGATTCCGCGATTGAAAAGAACACCACGCGAATAAACGGCTCGTCTCGTTCACAGATTAACTTCGACACTCGGCGCTGAAATACAAACTGGAATTTCAAAGGCTCCGACTATGAATAATCGGGATTCTCTTCTGAATGAACCGTCGACGTTTATATACAACCTCGGAGGAAAAATCGCTCTCGATGCTTATTATTACCGTGAAAATTTCATACATATTTTATGAACATTATTCAGAGCCTCTCTCGAATATTTTAATAAAATATTAACTTCGACTCTTCGTTGAGACTAAATAATTCTTTTAACGCGCGAAACGTGTTAATTAAAACGAAACGAATTATCGCTACAAGGAACTACGATGAAGTTAATTAACTGAAACGGGTTAATTTTCATATAGCGATCAACTATTCTCCTGTTATTTAAGAAGTTTCGTCGACGACGCTTCTTCGAAAGTTCCCGGAACGTTCGTCAATATAGAAATAGATTACTCGAGGGAAAATACGGATGGAAGGAAAGAAGAACGAGAGGAAAGTTTCTCGTGATTTACCATACGCTATGATATTATAAAATTTGCCATCGAGCCAACTTTTTTTTCCCCATGGAGACGATTCCGTCTGCTTCTGTTGCCAAAAATCCTTGAGAAATTCCGCGTTTCTATTTTCGAATCCCCCTATTCTGATACGGCAACGCGGAAAATTGGACGTCCACCCGGTATCGATTATTCTTTTTCCATGTGTTTCGCGACGAATAAAAATTTGCAAAGTTTTATTAACCCGTCGTTTCGTGATTTTCGACGTTTCAACCTTTCGACCGGCAGGACCCTCAATTACGGCTGTTTCTCCGCGTGTTTACCTACTCGAGATATCAAACGGCGACCGGCAGACTGTTTTACACGGTGCATAATTAATCCGCGAGTACTCTCTCGTTCGTGAAATTACTTTTCAACCGACACAGAGATACTAATACCGAACGCTTGTTAGGGAATGCCGAGTGTTTAATTTTTGCTTTTCCATTAGCCAGGTCGCAGTTGAACCAGCCACCAGTGTTTATTAAAATTAGGGAAACACTGGTAATTCGTTCCATTTTCAAGCTTTTCAAGGAGAATAAAACTTCGATTTGTACCCTGGAAATTTCCTTTACCAATTTATCGATGCTTCCAGCTGACAATTTGCGAATCAAGAAACCCTGGTAATTTCGTTCATTCCGCGAGCTAGACATTCTATTATCCGTAAATTATCGGCAGGCAAAGATTGATGGTAGGTCGGTGTTTCTAAAGTCGAAAGCTCGCGACGCAGCGATTCGCGAGGATGAGAAAAAGAAGAGAAATGTAATAGGAATAGATGGTAGGAAGGATTTTATAGGAGTAAATTGGCTTAAATCGTCTCCGAAGACCACAGCAACGCGACGTCTTTATCCATTTAAATGCAGCCGCTCTGCAGACTCTTCTTCCCTTTTGTTCTTCGAGTAGACGAACGGAAAAGAATGATAAAAGAATCGGAGGCCTCGTTGTGTCGGCGATGACGCAGAAGAATCGACGAGAACGCCCTTCGTCAATTAATTAATCGAATGCCCTTTCCGCGAGTCGGCTTTCACGATTTTCCCGGCGATTACAATTTCTCTTCCAATTTATTGAGCATTTCATAACGCTCCAGACGAAGCTCCTTTGTTCAACGTTAAACACGTCCTACCTTAGCCACCACGATATTCAACCCTGATAAATTGCAATTTTACAACCAGCCAGGTAACTGAGAAATTAGCAAACAATTAATATTGATAATTAAATAACAAACTCGCGCTCCACACGAGTGGAAATTTTAATAGCGTAAGTAGTCGCGATTTATCAAAATGATTGACTAGGAATTTTGGTAATGATCGGAGGAAAATTTGGTGCAGGGTGTCGACTGGTCTCGCTTCCCAACAAATCGCCGGGAATTGCATTAACGGGACTGCAGGGCGTTAAAGTGCACTTTCCCTAACGACTTGCATCACGCACGATTTACCACAATTGACGCTACACATCTTTCCCTCTTGGCCAATCGATCTCTCATAAATTTACATCTCAAACGTTTCGTAACGAGCTTGACCCCCTCACGATCCACCGTTGCTCCTATTTTTTCTGGACACTTTGAAAAATAATTTTGTAATTTGTAGTGAGGGCTGGTTCACACGCGTTTTATTATATAGAACAAAGAAGCCCCGTTCCGACGGTGCTCCTAGAATGTAACTCGACTAAATCTGTGTCAGACCATCAATCTTTGTCGCGACGGCGAATTTTTGTTCATTTTCATCCACGAATAATGGCGATTACCTCGAGTACAGTGTATCGTGACGAGACCGAGGATAATACACGTGCTCCAATCGTCGTAATTAAACCAGAATCTAATGGACGTTTAATTGTGGTTGTGGAAATTAACTCTTTATGGATGAGGCAATTTTCAACTCGGTAATCGCGCAATTAAATAATACGTTGAAACATGGAAAGTCTAACGCGATTTAGAATGGAAAAAATGAAAGAACACGTTGATGATTCCATAATTCATTGATCGATACGGTCGGACGATATATAACGAGGGGAGAATTTATTTAAAACACAGCTTTCTTTGCAGCTCTGTCACGGTCGACGACCCACGGGCAATATGGAAATGTAATCGCGGACGTCTCTTTTTCGCGTACGGAAACGAAACCGAATTGAAATATCTCGACGTTTCACGAATTCTCTTGAAATTCGCGAACGGCGCAGCGTTCCGTCCGATTGTCACAGCTTTATCGGGAAATTATTATCGACGCGGACCAGCCGTGCCTGTTTTCATTTTATACCGTTCCTTTCTTCGTTTTCCAATTTATACGATCGACAACGGATTTTCAAATTTAAATACATTTTAGTAGTATTTACTTGAAGAAATCATGTTAGCGAAGCTTGAAGGAGAGCTGAAGTTTTCCCTGGGAAAGTTTTCGTGATTTAGCAATTCGAAACCACTCAAGTAGGACCCTTCCGTTTGCCTGTCGAAGTTAGTAACCGTGTGTACACATCGAGACGTCTCTGACGAGTGACTCAGACCGTGGAAACGATCTTCTGAAACCCAAACATGTCCTTTGGATCGCGCTACGTGTCTGTTTCCTCTATTCCACCTCGGTCGAATCGTTCACCGAAACATTCTCGCGGATTACACAAATCCGATTAGCCTTCTCGTCACGGCTTCTAATTTGACAACATACTTAACTCGAAACGAACAATCCTTCAAATAACCATTTAACTCTTTGAAGCACGGAATTTTAGACAATAAAAAAGAAGATACATAAAAATTTTATTCTTATAAAATTGAACGAATTAGTAGGTTTATTTTAATGGAGAAATAAAATTACATAGAATTGAAAAAAATTGAAGAAATATCATTTAATTAATTAAACAATTAAATAGTGAACACAGTCAAAATAATTTTAATTTTTCGACGTGGTATAAAAATTTATCAAAAAGGTGGAACATTTTTATCTGTACCACGCTTCAAAGAGTTAAGAACTGAGTTTCGTTTGGTAGAACAAACGATTTTAACAAGCGACGTTTCCCATTAATGCTGACAAAAGAAAGAATCATCGAATAGTGGAAAGGTAGAAAGAAAAAGCGATCCCGCTGATCCAGGCCGAATACAACGATCCACTCCTTTGCATAAGAAACTCTACTGCGACTCTATTCGCTCCGAAGCTTCTTAGATTTTCTCTCGAGGAGATTGTCCGACTAAAAAACGACTCAGCTACTTAATTCCCAGTGACTCGAGCCTCCGAGGCTCAGACGGTCGCAGTAGAATCAGAGATAAGGACTCTAGAGAAGTCGAAAAACGGCTAATTATCCCTAGACCATTGTGTAACAGGAAACGCGTTTGTTTCAGGATTGGTCAAGCTCGGGGTGCACTGTGTGTTGGGCAAGAAAGTGGCGATCAAGATCATCAATCGGGAGAAATTGTCGGAGTCCGTGTTGATGAAGGTGGAACGAGAGATAGCGATCATGAAGCTGATCGATCATCCTCACGTGCTCGGCTTGTCGGATGTATACGAGAACAAGAAATACCTGTAAGTAGCCGGAAAGAAAAACGAGACGCGATATTTTTTCCCCACACGAATTTTTCTTCGCTCGCCGACCGAAGCTCTTGCTCGAGTTTCATCAACCTCGAGGATGTCGTTGAACTTTAATTCAACGGTTCGAGGAAAAAAAGAACGGTGAAAAGACGGAGAAAAATAATAGGGGAGGAGGAAAAACACAGTGAAATCTACACGGTAGACAAAAAAGTGTTTTAGTCAGGGTGGCTGACGTGAAAAAAAAAAAAAAAAAAAAAAGAATCCACGGTTGAAAAGATACGAATGGACGAGCACTGAAATTGCACTTGTTCCCTTTCAGATATCTCGTTCTGGAACACGTTTCCGGCGGGGAGCTTTTCGACTATTTAGTGAAAAAGGGTAGACTAACGCCGAAGGAAGCGAGGAGATTTTTTCGACAGATCATTTCTGCGTTAGACTTTTGTCATAGTCATAGTATATGGTGAGTAGAAACGTAATATCGATTCGTTTCCCCTTTCATCCGCGTCCTTGAAACAGAAACACCGTCGCGTGCATGCCGTCTTTTAACCCTTTCTACGTCGTTCTAGTAATTAGTACACTCTGCCCCTTTCGCTTCGTTGCTTTCCGAGTTAAAATTAAACAATATTTCCAGATCGAAGGATAATTTAAGAACGTGTCGGCTAAAATAGCGTTTCTTTCGAACTATAACAAGGGGGTTGATTTTCGATTGGACCTGAACGATGCACCGGGGTTTTCGTTACCGAATAAACGTAGTTTTATTTCACAAACGCAATAAAACGGGAAACATAAAAACGTTGGAAACTACTCGCAGTTACTTTGCCGTGGACAGATTCGATTTATTAACCCTCCCTCTCGGCTCTTCAATTTATCTCTAAACTCAATCCGAACGAACGTCCATCGATTTACTCCGCTAACAAAAAACTGTGTGTACGAACGATAAATCTAAATTCCTTTCGGTTAATTTTATAACTCGTGCAAATGATACGAAACAACAGCAATATTGCTAATGAAACGTTAAACAGCGATATGATTTTCCAGGGGTCTATCGGACCCTTACGCGTGCCGCTGGGTTAACGATTCGATAATAGAAGCAGAAGAAGAGAATGTAAGGCACACGCGGAAAGAAAACACGAGGGGGAGGTGATTCCCAAAGGTCTGTAGTTGGCATTCGGGAAACCTACCCCAATCGAATAAATACAGAAACGAACCTAATTTCGCCCGAAGGGGACACCGTGAAACATTGCCTTCGATCGATCCGCCATTTAAATTAGTCCAGCCTAAAATCGCGCACGGGAACTAGCTGTAGTTTCGACGAACGAATCGATCGATGAAAACTCGCCCCCTTTCGTTTTCCAGTCACAGAGACTTGAAGCCTGAAAATCTGTTGCTGGACGAGAAGAACAACATCAAGATCGCGGATTTCGGGATGGCGTCTTTGCAACCTGCCGGATCGATGCTGGAAACTAGTTGCGGTTCCCCTCATTACGCCTGCCCCGAAGTTATACGAGTAAGATTCATCGTTCTTCAAATTTCTATTTAAACCCCTGACAATCGTGACGAAGCTCGAATTAATTTCGTAAATTTTCGTAAATTCATCGCTTTCGGCGTTGCTCCCCATCCGAGTCGGGAAGTTAATTAAAAAATGGGGAGGAAAGTGGGAAATAATGTGGGATTTTCAGGGTGAAAAGTACGACGGTAGGAAGGCGGACGTTTGGTCGTGCGGGGTGATACTTTACGCGCTTCTGGTAGGCGCGTTGCCCTTCGACGACGACAATTTAAGGAACCTGTTGGAGAAAGTGAAGCGTGGTATGTTTTACATACCTCACTTCGTGCCGCCCGAGTGCCAGAACCTTCTGAAGGGTATGATCGAGGTGGATCCGGACAAGAGGCTGACGGTAAGATCCTTAATTCCGTTGGATCTATCCGAACGAAGCCTAATCCGTAATTCCCTCAGCTGGCGGAAATAAACAGGCACGTGTGGGTGACGGCGGCTGGCAAGGGCGAATTGGAACTGGAACTGTCGATGATGGACGTGGTGCAAACCCACGTTATTCCGTCCGTGGATGCGATCGATCCAGACGTGTTACAGGCGATCGCGAGCCTGGGTTGTTTCAAGGAACGGGAGAAACTTATTCAAGAACTCCTCAGCCCGAAGTAAGAAACATCGAGAGGCTATGGTTTCTCTATTTATACACCGTAAGTTTTCCGAAGAAATGTTCCTTTTACCTTTACCTGCCGCAGCCACAACACGGAGAAGGTGATTTATTTCCTGTTGCTCGAGAGGAAACGAAGAAGACCGGCGTGCGAGGACGAATTAGAGGTAATGAGAGGAGGGATGCGAGGATCCTCGGGACAATTGGAAGCGGATCCACCGAGGAAACGAGTGGACACGTGTCGAGTGAACGGAAGCACGGCCCTGAATCTCGGGGAAATCAGCCACGGATCTCCTTTAACCCCAAGGAGGCAGTCCAGGTAAAATTTTCCGACAATTTACAGGAAGAAACTGGAAAATCGGATCAAGTTTCTCTCCGTTAACCGGTGTTCGCTTAATTTCCCCGGTCAATCGTATCGAAAGCCATCTTTAGGCTTCGTTCAGGCTTAGAATCGCGTGACCAACGCGATCGGCTTGCGTGTACGATATCACACGTGCTCCCTGCTCTTTTTAATGCCGTCCCCCGTTGTTCGGCACGTGCAACCTCTACGCGGACGATTAGCTCTCGTCCGATTAAAAGTGTGTCTCGAATGTCGTGCAACGCGGAACACGCTCTGGCCGACGGATCGATGAAACTTCTGCTTGATTTCCTGAATATTGTTACCACAATTATTCCCGTTTAACTACTTATCACAGTCTTCGCCGTCTATTAGAATTATGATTGATCAATTTTTCAATGTTTCATACGACAGTGCCAGGCATCATGCTCGTCGTTCGCCGAGCACCGGAGGCTGCCACACGCACGCGTCGCATTCGCACGCTTCGACGCCAGGCAGCTCGCCGTTACACGGTTCGAACGCGGTCGCGGGTCTCCTCAGTCCCCACAGGGCACCACCGTCGTTGCACTTAGGACAGACCGGAAGTCCTCACCGGCTGTCCACGGTGACGACCACCGCGGGCAACGGAAACACGGCCAATTCGCCCGCCGCCACTCCGGTCCCGGCTCTGCCCAGCAGCGTCGGGATAGAGATAAACGACGTTCAACAGGGTGAGTTTATTTGCGAATCGATAAAGAAAATGAACCGGATGAGAGAAATGGTGAAAGAAGAAGAATAGAAACACGGTCGATTAAACGAAAAAAAAGGTGGTTGAAGCGAGCTGCAGGTGCGCCGAGTGTTTATACGAAAGGAACAAAAGGTTCGGGAGGGAAATCGGGGAGTCGACTCGTCTGAGTAGCGGCCTTTATCTTGCCGGAAAGGGCTAGGTTTTTTAAAAATGCAACTGACCTGCACACTCGCGGCGCGTAACGAGCACACACTGCGTACGAATCATCGTTAGAGATGCTGCACGCTTGGATGCCCTCCTATCCAACAGTTTTCTTTTTATATACCTTCTATCTCTCAAGAGATAGAGAGTTTTGAAAAACAAAACTTCTGTGATATTTTAAGTACAGAGAATGAAATTAGCTAGAAACAATGGTTGAAAGTTGGTGAAACTGAAGTAAAGAATGGAATATTTGTCGATAGTCGCGGTCGGCGTTACACCGCCAGGCTCGCCCCATACTGGAGCCGGTTCCGGCGCCCATCACTGGAGGTCCAGGCTAACAACCATCAAGAACTCCTTCCTTGGAAGTCCCCGATTTCATCGGCGCAAATTGCTCACGAGTACCGAGGAGGTAAGTGGATCGAAACTTTCCTTCCAATTACATATTTCTCAAATTCAACCGTTCTGTAATCTACAGGTACACCTCACTCCGGATTCCTCTCCGGAGCTAACGAAGAAATCGTGGTTCGGTAGTTTGATGACCACGGAAAAGGACGAAACGTTCACGGTTCTCGTTAAAGGGAAAGCATTGGCCAGCGTGAAAGCAGATTTGATTCACGCTTTTTTATCGGTGCGTTTCCGTTTCGACGAGCGTTTCTTTTCTTTTCACACAGTGAAATGTGATTAACGAGAGGGTTTCCGATCGACAGATAGCAGAATTATCCCACAGCGTGAGCTCCCCCATGTCCTTCAGAGTGGAATACAAACGAGGAAGCACGGCACCCGCGATGTTTCAAAGACAAGTCAGATTCCAAGTGGACATCAGTGCGATTTCGAAGCAACCGAACGAACCACTGTTCGCCATTACTTTCACTCTGCTGAGCGGTAAGCAAACCTTCTTCCAGGATTAACGCGATCCTTAATAATTCTCGTTAAAGCCTGTCGCGGTTTACGAGCGAACGCGGTAAAACGTTTCCTTAGGGACGAAACGCGCCTCGTTACGAGCCTGTCGTTGGAAACGAGAACCGCGACTCGAATTTCCCTGATAAAAAAAAACAGCTAAGGGTAGAAAGCACCCTCGGAAGCAAAACCGCGGAACAAGGGTAGAGATCGTAAGGTGGCGGCGTTTGGCACTTGGCAGCCGTCCAAGCGCAACTAGATCGATGTTACCTTGGCAAGTAAAACCTTACGTCTTTTCTGTGCGCACATATGTGCGTGAGTTATTCTATACGAATCAATTACCGTCGTTGACGTGTTTTGGAATGTTTCAAATTTACCTGAAGACTTTAAAAAATATTAAATGACGGCTGCTGAAGCTTGGAAAAGAAATCATCCCCCAGAGGCGAAGCGGGACTTGAATTTTGAAACACGACGGTCCCTAATTTTAATTAATCAGACAAATTTCATCGGGAATTCGTCGATGTGTCTCGGAATGTTTCAAATCGACTTGAAGAATTTAAAAAATATTTAAATCATCCCCCAGGGGCGAAGCGGGATTTGAATTTTGAAACACGACGGTCCCTAATTTTAATTAATCAGACAAATTTCATCGGGAATTCGTCGATGTGTCTCGGGATGTTTCAAATCGACTTGAAGAATTTAAAAAATATTTAAATCATCCCCCAGGGGCGAAGCGGGATTTGAATTTTGAAACACGACGGTCCCTAATTTTAATTAATCAGACAAATTTCATCGAGAATTTGTCGACGTGTCTCGGAATGTTTCAAATCTACTTGAAGACTTTAAAAAATATTTAAATCATCCCCCAGGGGCGAAGCGGGACTTGAATTTTAAAACACGACGGTCCCTAATTTTAATTAATCAGCCCACAAATTTCACCGGGAATTCGTCGACGTGTCTCGGAATGTTTCAAATCTACTTGAAGACTTTAAAAAATATTTAAATCATCCCCCAGGGGCGAAGCGGGACTTGAATTTTGAAACACGACGGTCCCTAATTTTAATTAATTAGGCCCCAAATTTTCCAACCCTCAATGGAGCCGTGAAGGAATAATTGCACCCCCGTTTGTTTGATGTTTCAGGAAACATTCGACGATTCCGAAGGGTCTGCGAGCACATACAGTCACAGGTGTGCTCGAGAAACGTGGGAATGAATTTGGGAGGTCAGAGCAGGGCGGCACCACCCAGTCCAAGGGCGTCGCGAAAATTCGCCGCCACGGAGATGAGCGAAAGTTCGAGCTGCGGTAGCGACACTAGCGAACGACTGTTCCTTAGTCCGCATCCAGCTACCAGACAGGTAGTCTGTTTCAACAAGGTAGCGCATCATCTTCCTCCTCCTACTCACCATTATCACGATAATTACTTTGCTCCGTTTCAAACCTGAATCTTCGAGGAAACTACTCGTACAAGGTGAAACACGAATCGAATCGAGACAATTATCGTTACTTGCACAGGGTGTCTAACGAGAAAAGGTCAATGTTTCAGAGAATTGTATCAGACTTCTTCTCGTGAACGCACCCTGTCGAGATCATTTATTTCTCTTTTATAATTATCGCACTCATAAACTCCTCGTCACTATTCACGACCCTCATAGTCTCACCGATACACAGCACGCTTGAATAGCAACGAAAATCGTTCACGTAATGCGCTTTTAAAAAATAGAAGAAAATGCACAGAACGAGCCCAGCTACGCGTTAGTTTCATAGACCGTAGCAATCTATAGTTTATCATTTTCGCCACGAATGATTGCCAGCAATTAGCTAATCGTCTTCTACCGTCGAATTTCGGTGTTAACCTTCGAAGGTCGGAAAGGGGTTGTTAAAAATCAAGGAATAAAATATGTTACGATCGATCCCGATCCGTCGTTCGAGGGTTAATCGAGCGTCGTTCGATGCTCAGCTCTCGTTCGAATTGCTTTCAGATCGATTCGGACCTCGAATCGGACACGTCCGTATTCGACGTGAAATCGCCGAGCAGGGAAAACGGTCGTCGAAGTTCCACGTCGACGAACAACAACAATCCGCTGCCGGGCGACGCGACGCCGACGCCCGGAAGTCCGACGAAGGCGGTCCGCAGCAACTCGGAGAGCCAGAACACACCGGAGAAGAAATGCGTGACCACGATGAGCGGCAACAATATAGCGTGATACTACCAGAACTTCCGTTTCGAGTTTCGATCGAGCCTGAAGAATTTATGGGACAGCGCCCAGAGATTCTGGTGAGTCTCGTGCGAGCAGTTTCCGATCCGAGAAACGATCCAACGATACCGCGCGCCGATCACGAGATAAGACGATGCTTCTACGGAGGAGAGAGAGAGAGATAAAGGGACGACTTCGACGAGAATCAAATGGAGAGTGAAAGACTAAGGCGAAAAGCGACGATGCTAGAAGTTTCGAAAGGCACGATTTGTTGAGAAAATAACGAGACCGAAACGATTAGAATTTCAGTTGATTGCGAAAATAATTAATCGGCGATTGGTGCTATGAAGATAAAAAGAGAGAGAAAAATAATCATTGAAAATAGAAAGCTTAAGCGTAAGGAACTTTGCAATAATATATCAGTCTTGCTATTTTCGAAACGGACCACGTGAAAAATCAAAGGATTATGGAAAACGGAAGAGCTGTTTCAGTCTATATGGAAGAAATTGATTAGTCTTTGAAGAAGCCAAGAATTTGAGAAAGAGAATAAGCTGCATATAAAATCAAACACACCATGAGAAGTTCGAAATTTGACTTCCAATTCATTTTTAACAGGAACGGTGGGGAAAATTTGTGCCGCAACGCGGAATTTTTCGTGATTCGACTTTCGTTCCGCCGCTAGAATCGTTGCTTTTTTTTTTTTTTTGTTTCAAGTGAAGTGCAATATATCTAATAGTGACGTTTTACCGATATACGCATCGGATCGTGTCGTTGTAAGAGTGCTTTATTTGGTACGTATGTACATTCTGTTGTGTATCGTCAATTTTAGCGATGAACCGCGAAAGAAAAGCCGGAAAGATTAATTCGAAAAAGAAAATTTAGTTAAAACAATCTTTAATTAATCCTCCTGGCTTTTCGAAATTCAACGCTTGTTTTCACTGAGGCATTTATCGTGAATGTTAATTAATTGCATCCCACGATACACCGAGCAATTCGTTGTTGCATAGACGTTTAACCGTTCCAATTACTCGATTCATTGATTAATATTAATATCGGTCATACATTATTAAACCATCGATCAAACCGTGACTCTGCTTCGTTCGTTTCACGTGTCTCCTCGATTTTCTCGTTCGTATCGATTAATTTATTCGCAAACATTCCATTACACCAGTCGATACATCACAGCTCATTAACGTATCGGTCGATTTTCAGCTGTCGAACAATTTTCCCATGAAATAGCATTAATTCTTAGCGTTCAACTCGATATCGAATGCCCAGCTGTTTTATTTTTCCGATACTCAACTCAGGAACGAGAAAAATTCCATGAAACGAGGAAAATCGAGGATCGCCGAGAGTTTCTCGACGCGTAACTGAAAGAAAACGAAGATACGCATTAACGAGGTAAATGAAAAGAAAAAATGGTAAAGAAAAATGAAACGCAACGATCGCGTTGAGAGATTTATTTTTTGCACGCACGAGAAAAACATTTCAAAAGACTAATATATATATATAAATATAAATACGAATATAGATATATAAATAAATGAATAAATAAATGAATATATTATATATATATATATATATATATATACGTACATGAGTAAGTAGGTTTCACTTGTAAGAGGTACGCGTTACAACGCGTAAGGCTTCTTGTTTGCTACCCGCGCGGAAACTAAACGGAGAAAGAGAAAAGAAAAGCGGAGAAAGGGAGAATCTAGCGTTTCTAATCGTAGAATATAATTATCGTACAGGTTTTTTCTCAACACACAGACATATCTCGATAAAAATTGTCCCAGCTTCTTAGTGGAACGACGATGTTAAACGCGATTGATTAGCAGTGTTTTTAATCGAAGGCTCGAAACCGAATCCTGCCGATCGTGAGAATCCGAAGGTATCGAAATCGAAGGAACGGTTCTGCTCGATCTTGTTCGATAACGAGTTGAACTGGTAGAATGTTATTGCTCTCGTCTTTCCTCGTGCTCGTAGAAATCGTCTAGCGTATCTATTTTATTGGGTCGCTGCATATCGGATGGTCTCGAGACGATTTCATGACATAAAAGTGTCGCGACATCAATTTTCAAGCTTAAAGTATTGTGAAAATCGCCGCGATAAAGGTTTCGTTGATATTTTCGATACAAAATGGTTGATTGGTGAATTGCAAGAAACCAGGGAGCTAATTATTATTTAGGCAATGAACGCACAGTAAGATACGAAAGTTCGGTAAACGAATCCACCATTTCATCTGCGACGACCTAATAGTTTACGGAAGGATATTCCCATGAAAAATTATTTCACACGCGTATTTCTTCGCGAAATAAAGTACCTCTTGAGCTTAAAGCGTGAATATGTTTTGTACACTTAAACTGCTCATATTGCGAATCGTTAAAATGAACTTATTTTACACGTGTCACTTTCACGCGAAGAAATATGCTAGTAATTGTACGTACACGATTGAAACAGCATCGGACAACGAATGAACGTCGTTTTCAATTCCCGATAGCCCAGAAATCGATCGGTGATAAACGAATGTTCTAAAAACGGCGAATCGAAGAATCCTCCCAAAAGAAGGACGAAAATTTAGCGAAACCTTTCGTAAGTAGATAGACGAGTAGTGGAAATGTTGGCTCGAATCAAAAAAAAATTCCAAACGTCGGAGTGTCTCGTTTTTAAATATCGCATACATACACTGTACGTTGTAATCGCGCACAGCGACTCGTTCCTAAATATCCGCGACTACGCGCGAGGATCATTGGATCAGGGATTCATTTCAATAATTTCAATAATCATTTTCGAAAAAGGCCGGACACGTTAGTCCTCGCTCGATAGACGATTACTCCCCTGTTTGTACCAGAAACATTCCATTAAGAAGCTTGCAGGTAGAAAATGTAAAAAAAAAAAAAATAATAAGAAAAAGAAGGTGACGCGATCGTACGACGAACGACACCTTCCACGCGCATAATTGCTAGATAGGTAGGTAGGAGTAAAATGATAACAATAATAAAAGAAAAAAAAAACAAGAAAGATAACAGGGAGGAAGAATGAATGAGCGTGAAACGGACCCATTTGTTACGTTTCGCGATAATGAATCGGGCTTTGCAATACGCGTGATCGTAAGATCCTAAACTAATAGAAAAAAAAAACACACACACCCACACACAAAGAGAATGAGAGATATTAGCGTGATTGTTTGACGAACGGAGATGGAACGCGTGCGTGTACGTGTGCATTCGAGTTGTCGTTGAATCGTTTAATATCGTATGCGACACGCATCAAACGTTCGTTTATATTATCCGTTCAGACACGGAAATGGGAAATTTTATTGTCATTTTGTCGTTTAATTATTCATGAATTATAGAAGGATCTTTGGTCGAAGAAAAATGAAACCTCTGTCTAAATGGATAATATAAATCTACTTTAAAACACAGACACACCACTAACTTATTAATTGAAATTAGGCGTAAGCTTGGCGGTTATCTATTTATTAATGTAAAACTATTCGTACGACATAAGTAACGCGACACAGGGGGTTCGGGCGAAATAATGGGTTCCATTTGTTGCGGATACAGATTTCCTTCGGTTTGCTAGGAAAAGGAGGTATTTTCGAAATGGTAATTGTTTTTTTATTATGTTCAAATCGAGCGATTCTGCTGATCGATGTTTTCCATTATTTGGTCCGACCTCTGAAGTTGAAGAAAGGGGGGAAAGGGAAAATGGACGCAAAGAAGTGAAATGAAAGAGAGAGAGAGAGGCGAGAACACAAGAGAAACAAATTACCGGCCATACTAAGTTAGGATTTTATATCGTGCGAATTTATGGATGGAAAGAGAACACTTAAGGTACTTTGGTGAATAATAATAATAATCGGAGCGAATGGATTTACCGTGCCGGGTATCGAACTACTCGGTACACCGCTTTCTGTCTCCTATTCTTTTTTCGTTTGTAATCGAACGCGAACGTCGTATATAGTTGTACGGACAAATTAATAATACTCGCTATCCCTCACGTGTCTACGATTTATTTTTCGACTCGTTTTTCCGTGCCATCGTCGCTCTGTGCCGAAGCGCGATATCCTCCTTGAATTCTTCCAACGATTCGACCCGATCGAACGCAACGTACGCTGAAGAAATTGTTCTGTATTCAAATTCTCTGAGAGCTAGGAATTCTTCGTGCGAAAATAAATCGAAAAGTCCTTTGCCGTTTTTCAATCCGTGGATTCGCTTTCGAGATATGAGCGATTAAAGATTGGGAGCGTGACTTCCGGGGTGACTGGACGAATCACGCGACCGCAGTGGCACCCCGGAAGTCGCGCGCTAGATTTTTAATCACTCGTATCTCGATAACGAAGCAACGGATTAAAAAATGGTAAAAGACTTTTCGATTTGTTTTTTCATATAGAATCTATAGCTTTCATGACGCGTCTTTTGCGAACACGTTTTGAATTCGGTTTATTCGATGGAAGAATATACTCAACGAGAATTCCTGTGCTTGTCGCCTCGTACGCAGAGGATGTGCTTTCATGATGAACAAAAAATGGCAAGTTTCGCAAAGAGGAGAATACTGTAGAAACGATACAAAATTCCCGAAACATCGTATCCTTAAGGCATTATAAGCTAGGCAGATAGAGAAGATTTTTATACAATTTATAAGGCGATTTGCAATCGATTGATTTATCTCGCACGTTTACTTGTTGACCTTTTGTTATAATATACAGCCTTGCTCAAGAAATCCTATTAAACGAATTAAAAAGTTGCGCAATTTCAACGACCTCGTAGTCATCAGATTCGACCAGATTTCGTAGTCAAAAAGAACGTATAGAAAATGTTAAAAACTTCTGCTGGATCTTTTGAGCGAGTGCTAACGAAGAGGCTGCATCGAGGATGCATCAGCTACTGCAAGATATTCTCTCTCGTCGCTCGTCAACTTTCAATTAACGTGCTTCTGACCCTGTATTTACGTATCTCTCTATTGGAACGATACAATTGCACAACAAGATGATCACCGAAAAAAAAAACAAAAAAAAAACAAGAAATTAAACAATGCTCGAAGGTTGCTCACGTACGTTGACGATCAACAATTCCATTCACGAACAATGTTCGCTTTAATGCGCAAATCAGTGTCCCACTTGTGAGAAACGAGGCTAATTGCGGCTGGATAACATCGTTTCGACACTCTATGCATCAAGTCAAATCTCTGCCAACCTCTCGAGCTAGCCAAACCTCTCCAATCAGTTGACGCCTTGTTCCCTAACAATTACCTGCTTCGTCTTTCAATTTCATTTGTTAACGTGTTTTGTAAGCAAAAGCTATAATTGGAAACCAATGGAGAGGGAACATTGTCTTAAGATAGAAGCGTTGTTTGCAACTGTAAGTCGGCGTACTTTTAGCAAATTCGATTTTTGCACAGCCGCAAACTGCAGCGTGACTAACAACGTCCGATTAGTTAGTAAAATTTAGTAAAAATTGTAAAGTAAAAGCGCTTCTTTTCACGCTATACTATTCGTTGAGTTACCATGATTCTATAGCTAAGCTTTTTAATTATATTTCTTTTTCCAATTCTTTGAACGTTATTTTGCTAAATAAAAAAATGAATCGAACTTAATACGGAGTCTAAACTCAATTAATATTCGAATTCTGTTCGATATGCGATCAGAACTCGATATTCGATTATTCGATTATTTGAAAGTAGGAGGACATTTTTCTTTCGACCAGTATCCTTAACGCCGAATTATCGATATTTGTACAGGAATATATTGTTTTTACGATTGTTTCAGCGATCTTGCGATACTCTATCGATACACGGATATCTCGACAATGAAAAAAAACTTCGAAATCGAAATGTCGTACATGAGGGATCCACGAGTCGTGTCTCACGTGAACGAGCTTCGATTCTGAGTATCGATTATATGTACTTCGTGTGAAGTCTTTCACTGCAAAAACTTCAATCTCAAACTAATCCATGTAAAAAAATGAATAAAATTATATTTCATCGAAGGTAATGTTGGATTAAAGGCACTTTCAAGTGTCTTAATCGACATTAAAAAACGCGATATCGATTATTCAGCGTTTCGATATTGCTGCACGCTTGTATCATATTTAAGGCGTTTTAATAAAGCTTTCAAATCTTTCGAATTCGTTAAGATCGTTAGATCTTTGAAGATTTTTCAAGGTTTTTAAACTCATGTAATATCAGAGGTATTTCGAGTATTTGTTATACCTTAAATTGTTAGAAAACTCGTGAAATAAAAATAACGAAATACCCATAACCAAAAAAGTGCGTTGTTATCGATCGAATGCTCGGTCGATCATAACGACTTGCTTCAATATCGGGTGAAACAGTTCATATCAAAGATACATAATCAATATTCTAGTTAAAGGATCCCAGACGTACAGCGATTCGATTTACCAGTATACGTATCGTATATACCGAGTATTTGGTAACGTCCATGACAACTGACAATAACGGCTGTGAGTCCGCGAATGCTTTTTTTCTTTTCTTTTTAAAGTATACCCTACCATAAACCATTTCGCTTGACTTGCCTACCTGAACTGGAACTTTCCTCAAAATTTTCATGAAAACTGATCTCTCTATCATATTACTTTAATTATGAGTTTTTTAACCGAACAAACATTGAAATATGTATGCTTAAAACTTGATTCAGTTTCCATGTGAAATTTCGAAGAAGGAAGCGACGATCTTATTCCATCGACACGACAGATGCATGAATATAGCAATGATTTACGTACTCACCGTATGCAGCCGATTCCAACAATGTTACAGCATATTTGTCACTTATTTTGCGAATAAAGAACACTACTTGCGAAAGGTGGTTACGTCGATTCGGGTGCTACTGATATGCATCTCAGGATCCATCGCGAACACACAAACGATGACAAATTCTACACATATTTTAATGTTCCAATACACAAATCCACAAAGCGTTAACGATTTCGAGTAATTAAGATGAAACTGTACTTACCATATTTAAAATATTGCTCGAGAGACGTAACCACGCGATGAGCAAATCCCGTCACGCCGCCGGTTTGAATGTTGAAGTAGGTTTCGATCGTGCAATCGACTAACCGGAAGTCCGCGCACTTCACGGCGAAACGTCCGTAAAAATTTAACGATCATTCTCGAAAAGATCGAGGATTTGCGCTGAATTCAATGCACTTGCAGTAAATTATTTTTTTACGAAGAGAAAAGAAATTATCCTGCCCCAAAATCCTTGTTCAGCGTAGCTAAAAACTAGCCTTTTTTTAAGCGTTCAATTTTGAAAACCCACAAACGACTAACGCGCCCTCTGTCGAACTTAAATGAAACTTTATTTTAAGAGAACGCAATCGCTATACAAACTCGTACAATTACGATATCAGTCGTAATTATTTAGTTAAATTACACATAAACTGAATAATTTTGTTCTTGTATAGTTTTACCGGTGAAGCGACTACAAATACAGTGTACAAGATATTGTACTAACGAATATTACTGATACTTGTCACGCAATGACTATGGATTATTATGTATTATTATTATAAAATATATCGTTAGTTTTCAAGCAAACGAAATAAACATGAGAATGTGAAGAGATAAAAAATTGTAACATATTTGTTGATGGCCAATATCAAATATGTATAAAAGTAATAATAATGCAACATTACTAATAAACAAATATTACTAATTTTATTGTAAATTTACTTTCCAATTTATCAAATACGTTTATAATACAATATTTTATTTATACATTGCTCTTATATAAAACACAATGTTCTTTATATAATTCTAATAAATTGTAGACATGTTAACGAATAAAATTTAAAAATATTTTAAAAAATGTGGGAACAGCTGTATATTTATGAAGCACGTGGATATATGTATTGTGTCAATCTCATCGCTGGACGATGTTACGCGAACCCTAATTAAGTAGCGTTTGTCAATAAAATTGTTAAATAAATTGTTAAAGAATGCCGAAACGTCCGTGTCCGTTTGAGGATGATTTATTGCCTCAAATGAAAGTACACGTAGGTCAAAAACAAGTTGACAATGGAGTGAGCAATGAAGAACGAATGAAAATTGTTTATGGTATGAAGGTTATGACACAAGGAAATTCAATGCTTTCATTCTAATTTCTCTTGTTTCCAATTCTTGTAGGAAAAACTCTAAATTTATTAAAAGAAGGTGTCAAAACATTATCACAGAGACTCAACAATTCCACAGAGATAGATTCCATTGATCTACTATCACCACAAGTACTTTCCTCTTGCAAATCCAAACATGAACATAATTCTAAGCAAATGGTATTAAATAGTAAATTACAACTATTAGGAGTAGATAAAGCCATACAGGTAAGTGTTTTTCTTGGTTTCTATTCTAAAACTGTATTTTTACATGAACACTTTATAATGTTATAACATTTTTTTAAATGTTTCTTTTAAGGATATTCAACCAAAATATGATCTGTGTGAATGCAGCAAAGTAATAAATCCAACTACATGTAACAAATGCTCTTATTGTGATCAACTATTATGTAATTCTTGTCTCTTAGAATGTATTAGTTGTTCAGAGTTGTTTTGTCAGAATTGTTCTTTACCTGTGTAAGTTGTTCTTTATCTCTCACTTTATATTTGAAAGACAAGAGTATGATTTTTGTTTATGTATTTTTAGGTATGATCATGAAGAAAAAAGCAAGTGCCTTAATTGTTATAGATGAAACCAACAGTGTTTTATATTATTTTTTATAATCCATATTTATGTTTTTTACTAATACTAATTATATGAAATACCAATTACATGATTTTGTATGAAATGGCAAATTTTTCTTACCCTTCCTACAAAAGACCCTTTTATTTTAAAGGTGTATTAATATGTAATTTCGAATTTGAATATTTTTTATTTTTATACTGAGATAGTAAAACCTCTATAAGTCGTCATTTTCCTTTTCTCGTCATTTTAATAGGATGAAAATGTTAGGGAAAATAAATGAATATCGTTCTTAAAAAAAATTCACTAAATTCACGAAGTGACAAAGCGTTACCACAATTTCAATGATTCGACAATGATATAGAAAAATCACAACTGGTCGAATCAGTGATGCAAAATAGATAGTAATATATTTTTAAATATATTAATTAAATTAAAATAATTTCTAAACCGAATATTTCAATTTTCTAAACGAATGACGAGATAACAGAGGCCTGCTAGCGAGAAACGTACCTATATAGCATCCGTATTACACGTGGGTTATTATTTGAAATTCAGTATGTCAAAAAGTAAGTTGTTTTTTAATAGAAAAATTCTTTGTTTATATAAACAGTATAATACAAAGTAGTAACTAATTAATCTTACAAATCTCTGGTTGATTTCAGATAACAATACAACGAAAAGAGAAAAGGAATCAAAGATATCAGCAAGTACCAATGAAGAAAAGAATGTCAAAATTACATTAGAAGAAAAGAAAAAGGTAAGATATTAATATTATTTATAAATTCTATTATTGACCACAAACATTGGGATTGAATATAAATCATATACTTACAGAGTATTAAGAAAAAAGGAGGATATAATGTATTACAACATCCTAAAAAGAAAAATGGGAAACAACTAATTAAACAAAAAAATACATCTCAGAAAACTACTAAAAAGTTAAATGTCTCAAATATGCTCTTAAAATGTAACAAAGAATTGTATGATTATCAAATTCAGCAATTGGATCTGATCCTCAAACAGTCTCTAAATTGCCCAACATTAACACAGGATGAATTAAAAATGTTATTTGTGAAATACAAGTCAGATGGACATTATAGAGCTAATACAACTTTGCCACAATTTACAAATTTCTCAGACAACACATGTGATGTGATTAATGAAAACCAGTATTATAATCAAATGCAATATGTACCTACTCATAATACTGACAAAGTACATCCTAAAAACACTACAAATACAATTATAAATCCATACTGCAATACTGATAATGAAATTCAACCTATGAAAGAAAATGTAAGTGTGTGTGAAAGTACACAATCAAATTTAAAATGTCATCTACCACAAAGTATTGAGATTTCTGAAACAAGTAATATGGATAGCTTAACTGAGAATAAGTGTCTTTCTGTTGATTGCAATCCTTTAAACAATAGCAACTGTAACCATATGTTTACAAACCATGATGTACAAATGTATCAAAATAACATTAATGTATTGAATGATATTCAGAATTTTAACCAATTAAAATCAGATTTGAATATTGTCAGTACTGAAAATGTAGCAACAGAACATCATAATTATAAATACACAAAGAAAAATTTACTTTATAATATATTTGATTCAAATTTACAATACGGAAATTTAAATAATAGTGAGATTTCACAGCAAAATGATATATACAGTATATTACAATATAATGACTTGCAGTTGAATTCAGATTTTTGCAATGATATTTGTTTAAATAAATGGAACACGGATGAAAATAATAATCTACTCTACAAAAATGCACAGGTACCGTGCATCCCTCACACTAATGGCTTGAAATCATGCTATAATGTAAATAATTCTATGACTGCCTCTCAAATGTCGTTGATTAAAAATTATATCGAAAATGAGGGTAATATTAATTTGCCCATTCATACAAATACATATCCTTTTACGAGTGGCAAAAAGGACTTGATACACGAATTTAATGAAAATATCAATACTCAACAGGATTTTAATCCTTATTTCGCAAATTCAGATACAATATCTGATGATCTAACAGAATCAAATACACTTGCTTTGTCTTGTCCTAATATTGTTAAACAGTTATCTTCTTAAAGTTTTATAAGGATATAAAAAAACTACTGAATTAACTAAAATAAAATATACATATGTACACATATAAATTATTAACTACATATTAGTATAGTTAATATACATTCGTAAATTAAATACATTGTACACAATGAGCATAAGTATATACAAAACTTTAATACCTTTCTCAGGTAGTCCAAAAATATTTTAAATACATATACCTTTAAATACAAAAGAAATGTAATATTATAATATATGCTGTATTCTATACAATCTTTTCCTATTTATAAATATCTCAATCTACATTTTAATGAAAAAATATATTTTACGAACATTTATAACTATATAAACTAATTTGACACAGTCTATTAGGCAATGTATACTGTATGTAAGAGTTTTAATTAGTTAAGCCGTGAATATTTGTTACGTATTTATAACAAACAATATATGTTTGATTTTTAAAGATTGAAAATATTGTTAAGTTATTTATGCATAACTAAACCAAAGTATGGTCCCAAGAAACATTTTATCTATCACTCGTTGTAATACTTATTATTTATATATAGTACTGTATTGTCATTTTTTAATAGAATACTCATTATTGTTATAATATGAAATGGTTTAAATATAAAACATAAAATAAAAGAAAATTATTAGTTTCATTTTAGTTAATAAAAGGACGTAAACATTTATAATACTATTAATAAGCCTTAAAAAAAGAAGAAGAATTAAGATACGAATGTGCAAAACACTATTGTCATCCTTCATATTTTTCTTGATTAAAAATTTAACTCCTGGTAGATGATCATGGCAAAAAGTTTGTAAACGTTAATCTTATGTCAAGTCATTATATCATTAACAGAGAATGTACATGGATAAATTAAATATTTAAAAAAAAACATTCTTACGTGTCAACACGGCGTTATATTTGTATCGCTCTTTACGTTTTTTCGATAACCAGAGAAATCTGTTACCAAGTCAATTTCATCTATGTCTTCACCAAGAAGCCGACCTTCTAAATCGTCTTTAGATTTTCTGAATAATCTGTAATTGGATTTAATTATAAACAATAATTATTTAACTAGGTAACGGGGTATTAAAACATAAATAAATGCATTAGTACTTATATTACCTTACTTCAGGCTTAAAGATGATTTGTACACAATTTATAAGAGTATATACAATATATATGTTACACATTCCTTACTTTTTAACAAATAATATACATATAATGTACAACAAGTTAGTCACAACATACTTTATACATCTTATTTTATAGTTTATACTACCTGCAGTAAGCAGATTAATGCAAATATATTGCGAAATTAACCCGAGAATAAAGATGCTGTAATCACACACCATTTCTGCCTTAACCAAAAGAAATTTTTTGATGCAGTGCCTTGTCAGATGTAGCCGCAATATTTTGAATCTTCAAAAAGCTAACACACATAGACATTTTATAGAAAATAAATCTCGCAGAAGCATGCAAAAGAATATGTAAATCACGAACTGAAAGAATAAGCAAATTCCTCGGATTAGGTAAATTATTTAGCAAATAACTTATCAATTTAAAAAATATGATTATTTGTATACAATTTTTGTACAATATAATACATTATTACAGAATAAAGTAAAACCGGTATATATCGTTAATTAACAATGACCAATTCTACTTATTGTTAAATTATTGTTTACATTTGGTATAGTATTTACAATTCACGATGAAGATTTAAGGATACTTTTATATCAATTATTTTCGTAAATTATTTAAAATTATTAAACAATCATAAATTATACAACGATTATATTTTCTCTTATAAAAGTTCTTTTTATTCAGTCTTATATTGTTTTAACCGTATTTAATTAAAACGTAGTTTTATTTATTTAAAAACACTATGACATTTCACAAAAGTGAATGATATACGGAGTGTAGTAATTACAAATTTTATACACTAAAATAGTTTGTTATAAAATCATTTTTAAATTCACAGCCTGTTTTTACTTGTAATGAAAAAATACTATATATTACAATTAAGTTAGTAAGTTTATTATGATGTTCATTTAATGTTCTGTTAGTATGACACAATATTGATAAAATAATTGATAAATAGCAAGCGCACAAGATCAAACCTAACACCTTGATATTAGTATGTTAAAATCAAAAAAGTAAGATCGCTTTCCAATATTAAAATCACGTTACTGTAATTCCATCAAGCAGTAGGATTATTATAGTTACGCATGAATTTTGTAAGCATAGGTGTCTGATCATACCTGGACAACGTCGACGTTGATCTGTGCATAATCGGCATTACCGAATCGTCTAAACCACGGTGAAGAGATATCGTGTCCAGATCTACCATTCTTGCTGTCGAATGAGCGCGCATCGCTGCTAAATATTCTGGGGTCTCCAAAGTTGCCTTTGTTGGTTTACGATAACTACAAAATATCGTAATTCACGTTCTTTGTTCTTCCTGCTTGTCCGCAGTGACGCGTTCGCAAGAATTGTTCATCATTCGATACTTACAATTTGAGTAACAAGGAACTTCCAACCACGGATACAGAACTTAGTGCCATCGCCGCAGATGACATCCAGGGTTGTAAAAAGAATCCAAAAGAACTAAAAATTCCAGCAGCAATAGGAATACCCAACAGATTATAAATACTAGCAAATAAAAAGTTCAATCTAATTCGACGAACTGTTTTCCTCGACAAATCCAGGCACGCAATGACATCTAAAAGATCATTCTAAAAACAATTATTATTATTATTATGCGTTTATTATTTGGTGCGATGTATGTGAACTCTTCTCTAATTACTTGGAAATATTTTTAGCTTACTCGCATAAGAACTACATCGGCAGCTTCCACAGCAACATCCGTACCAGAAGATATCGCAATACCAACATCTGCTTGAGCAAGAGCGGGGCTATCATTTACACCATCTCCTACCATCGCGACTCTGTAGCCTTGATCTTGTAGGCGCTGAATTTTTGCAACTTTATGCGAAGGTAACACTTCGGCAAATACTCTAGTAATACCAACCTACGCAATTAATAAATATCGCATAAAGCAACAACAAATTTTATATAATAAATACATTGAAGAGAAAAAGGTGTAGTTTACTTGTCTAGCAATAGAAGCGGCAGTCTTTCTATTATCTCCTGTTAAGAGGATAACTTCTAAACCCATCTTCTTCAAAGTATAAATTGCCAGATGAGCCTCTGGCTTGACTGTGTCTGCAACGCTGATCATTGCCACTAATACATTGTTTACTGCTGCTAAAACTGCAGTATGACCTAAATCTTCTTCACTCGTCATCTTCGACTCTACCTCTGAAGGTATATTAACCGCATTTCGTCGCATCCATTCCCTGTTACCGATACAAATTTCGTACACATCGTCAGAATGAATTTGATCACCATGGGAATCTGGATTCAGCAATAATTCCAAATCTATGTTCTGTCTTTCTTGACTTGAACTGGCAATCGATATAATGTCGATAGACACGTCGTTTAAGGTGAACGTTCCGGAAGACGATCTTTTCACTTGATTCACATAGTTGATAATCTTTTCCGACTTTAAAGCGGTGCTCAGAGGCGTCGAAATGTGAGATACTTTACATTTGAGTCCACAGCCAGCGACTACTTGAATGTTTGTACATTGTCCGGTCGCTTCGGAACCAATTGTTTCTCTTACGAACTTGACAATTGCTTCGAGAAAATAAAGATCATTAAAATATACTCTTGGCATAGAAATGTTTGGAAACTTACCTGATGCAATTGGATGTTCGCTGTTCGTTTCAGCCGTACAAACGATAACTAAAAATTTCGCTAATGAACAAATCTTTTCACTCGCGAAGAGGCTAATTTTTGTTACCATCGGCACACCGTGCGTGACGGTACCAGTTTTATCGAATACGACACATTTAACTTTATGCGCGTTCTCCAAGGGTTCAGCACCCTTTATTAAAATACCATTCAGCGCCCCGACACCGGTACCGACCATCACAGCTGTTGGCGTGGCTAATCCTAACGCGCACGGGCACGCGATCGCTAAGACGGAAAGTGCGCTTCGAAAAGCGTACTGAAATATTATCTCTTCCCTGTTCATACCGTGTGTATTGATTTGATCATTGTGCGAAATCGGTAACTTGTTTATATTTATATATCCCACTACGATCCAGATAAATAATGTCACTATAGACACAGCTATGACAAGAGGGATGAAATAACCGGCTATTTTATCAGCTAAATGTTGTATAGGTGCTTTGTTCGTTTGCGCCTCTTCCACTAATCGCACTATTTGTGCTAACGTCGTATGTTCTCCTGTGTGTGTGGCAGTAATTAATAACGGGCCATTCTGATTTATCGAACCACCAATCACAACTGACCCTTTCTTTTTCGGCACTGGCATACTTTCTCCGGTTATCAGGCTCTCGTCGCAGGTAGACTGTCCTGAGAGAACTCTACCGTCAACGGGAACTTTGGCACCTGGTACTACCTTCAACACGTCACCTCGTTGCACCAAATCTATGCTGATTAAACGTTCAGATAATATTTCATTGTTAGGACCTAGAGTAACTAAAACAGCATCCGTTGCCTTTAACGACAACAACTTTGACAGAGCCTCCGATGTTTTGCCCTGAAAAATAAAAGTGCTGTTTTATGATTTCATCGATCATTTTAAAAAATCAGCGAAGAGTTAAAGAAAGCTTCGAACCTTTGCAACGTGCTCCAACCATCTTCCTAAACTAATAAATACTAACAACATAGGAGGAGTATCAAAAAATGTTTGAGGACTAACGCGTTCCTGCATTATCATAGCTGCTGTAAGTACGGCAACCGAATACAAATAAGATATCGTGGTGGTCATTGAAATTAAAACATCCATGTTGGTTGTGCCATGTTTCAAAGCCTTGTACGCTTGAACGTAAAAATGCCAGCCACCAAAAAACTGTAAATATTACTTGTTCAAATAAGTGATCAGATCTCTAATATTCATATGAAAAAGTATCTGCAATTACCTGCACCGGCGTAGAAAATATAAAAAGAATTAAGTTTTCCCAAGAAAGACCAGGTACTATACAGCACATATCTTCGTGCGTCTTCTCGCCAACAGACATAACTACCATAAAATAAGTCATAGCTAGCATACATGGTATGCCAAAGATTAAAGACACTAAAAATGCTGCTCGCCATTTATTTATCTCTTCCCTGAAAGAATAATAGAATAAACAGTTTCCAATTTATGTACGAAGTATCTTCCTGATCATCGAATAGCTATTTTTATACTTACTTTTGATCCAAATAGTCCCTATTTTCCTTATCTTTATTACTAAACAGTGTCGCGGTAAAACCCAATTTGTTAATACATTCGATAATGTCCCTAATACCAATTTTCTCTACGTCGTACTTAAATTTACCACGCTGAGTTGCCAGAGCAACCGCAGCTGTGAGAACACCTGGTAATTTCTTCACCGTTGATTCTATTTTGTTCACGCAAGACGCGCATGTCATACCCATAATCTAAGAGATCAGTATTAAAGATTACAGATTGCATGAGATTCGTCTGACCTGATAAAAATTTATAATTCATTAACGGCCTTACTTTCAATTCGATCTCTCCCTCTCCAGTCCCCGGTTCCTCGATCAAGGTGGTTGGAAAGCCCAGTTCGGATATGCTGGCAGCAATATCAATCGCCCTTATTTTACTCGGATCAAACGTGACTTCCGCTTTACCTGCCATCAATGCTACTAAGATACTGTGCACGCCATACAACTTTTTACAGTGCTTCTCTATGGCAGCGACACAGGAAGCGCAAGTCATGCCCTTTGGAATATAAATCAGTAGGTAAGATCAAGATAATAATTATTATTACCGTAACTATGTAAAAAATATTTACCGTTATATGTAAGAAGCATTTAGTTAATTGACTCTGAGCTTTCAGGTCACCTCCGCCATTTATCTGAAGCGAGATATCACCATTTTCTACATTATTATTTTTCAATGGCACCTCCGTGGTGGCCTCAAGACTCTTGCCATTTATTTCTTTAACGAAAGCAGTAAAACCCATCTCCTCAATGTATTTTGCTATCTGTTCAGCCGTAACATCGTTGTTACTGTAGGAAACTTTAGCTTCTTTGTTTTCCAAGCTGACATTCACCTCTTTTATCCCAGATTTTTCCGACAGAACACCTGCGTAGGAAGGAAATAATTATTTTCAACCGAGAACATTTAAGAAGATGGAAACCTTGTCACTTACAAGGATACCATACCTGTGATGCTTTTGACACAAGACATACAAGTCATTCCATCAACGTGTATGCTACAAGAACTAACGCTGGGCTGCAAGGAACTATTCTCATCGCCACCCAAAGAAGCCGTGAATCCCATATCTTCTATGGCTTCAATCAATTGGTTGACCGTAATTTCCTCTGTTTTATACTCGATGTAAGCAGCCTTTTCTTCCAGGACTACCTTGATTTTTGCAACCCCTGGACGACCTCCGATGGTTCCCTCTATGTTCTTCACGCAGCTCTGACATCTCATACCTTCGATATTAATCTTCACCGGGGTGGTATTCGAAGAATCCTTTATCTCTTGCGTTCGGAGAACGTAAGGAGCGGTGTCCTCGCAATCTGCATCCTCCTCGCCATCCCTGAATAACAACGCGTCATACATTAAGAATTTAATTTTATAACCCTTTTTTTAAATATTTTTATTATTAAAGATTTCATCATCCATAAGTGGACGAGTGGATTCCGGGATGCATTGACCGCCACCCAACCACCCCGGAAGTTGGGGGTGGTTTTTAATTTTTAATTAGTTATATCTCGAGGATGGATCCTTGGGGTAGAAAAATGGTAAAAGATTTTTTCATTTCTTTTAGCACAAAGAATTGAATTTTCGTGTTGTACAATATTGTTGTTGAAATCTTTCTAATTAACCCTAATCGAGGAAACGCAATTGCTTATAATTACGTCGGTTCTTCCTTGAGCGAAACATTTAATCGCTGTTAACGAATGGCATAATTGTGAGTTATCGAGACGGATTTAAAAGCAGCGATAGGAGAACCGCAAAGCTTTACTTATTTTCTGTTTCGCCTTATCTCAAGAGGAACTAAATTTCTCGTTTTATGTAACTCGAGTTACCGATCGTTAATTGCGCTTACCAAACGATCGAAATGACTAGAATTTTTCTTATTAATAATTATTGAAAAACAATCGTTCGAAAGATTTAGATATCTCACAGTTCAGGATAGAAACAATGATCGCTGGATGTAATCTTACCAGAGCACATTTATCACCCCGTGTTCTTCCTCGATCAAAGGCCGTTTATCATCGTCCATCGTTCTAGCTAATTACGAGAAACTTTCTAATTAGAAACCGTAATAGTGTGTTTCATAGGATGGATCACACGCAATATTGCACAATGAATCGTACCGATTCCTGTATCGGTTCGATGGATTTTATTCGTCATGCAACGATCAATTATTTCTAACGTTCATAGACGCTGATAAGCGTTGTCGCGTTTAACCCTTTGCACTCTGATTGCCAACCTGGTTGATCTCAACTTTGCAAATTTTCTACTTGAAACTATGATTATATAACAATCTCTTAAATTCTACTTAGAATATATCGATAAAATTTGATCTATTAACATTGATATTTCCCTGTATAAGGTGTTGAGAAGAAAAATGCATGAATATTATTTGATTTATTCGGATACTTTGCTCGAAAAGTTTTCAATATTGAAACTATTCAGGGTAGTGGTTCTGTTTAATCGATTTGCAAAGGATCACTGGACGTTCACTCGAATCGTATAAATTTTCGGAAGGATCGTCAGTGTTCTCTGCTCGAGAATGTGGATTCTCGAATACGCGTAGAAATTCCAATTACGTTTCTCGTAACTGGGAAAAAATTGCTCGCGATGAGTGGGGCGATCGTATACGAAACACACGATCACGACTCGAATTGATATCACCGAACGTACGACTGATAACTGGCGTAATCGTGGCGCGGTACGCAGGCCAGCTTGATTCCGGGATTTTGCTCACGGCACTCATACGTCCACTTGCACACGACCTTTTAGTTTTCATCGACCACCGATCTCAACGCGATCGAGTTCTCCTCGTCGTTATCGTAATCGATGGACACCCGAAACTATCTTGTTTACATACACGATTATACAGTTTGAATTTTCAATTGGACATCGAAGATTCTTAACTCGTACGTTTCGATCCAGTACGTGGATTAAAAGAGAAGAGAGTAGAAAGGAAAACGGTCGTCACACTTTCTGATTACGATGCTTTCCTCGATTTCGACCGCTGCAAAATCAACAGAAAATAAAATTAAAAAAAAAAAAAAAAAAAAAAAGACTCATATTTTAACTACCATTCGCTATTTTTTTTCACGATTTCAACAAATTGTAATTTTTTAAAATAGCAAAAACATACATCTTAGAAAATTAATTTTTATAGCTTCTCGAGAAACCTCAAGTCATTTGGTCCAATTTTAAACGAGGTATTCTGTTTTAAATTTGGCATACAGAAAAAATATACTAACCCTATGAGTTTCGTATTCTCATCCCTGGAGGAGGATTCCTGATAAACATTAGGCTTACGCCGCGCAGATGTTGGTCGGTGTACGAAAGGGAGGGTAAACTTAATTTTCAATCGATTCATTGTTCAATTCACAGGTTGCATGATTTTTGACACTGATTTCTTTCGTCGCACAATAGCCGGAATTTGTAAAGAGTTACGACCGGACGGAACTACCTTCCGTTATCGAGTCCTCGACATAAACGTACCGATAATTAGTTCGCTTTGACGACTCTTTTATACAAAGCAGCCGAAGAAAACAAGCAACGGTGTTTATTTTGCTGTTCATTATCTGTTCAAACGTCCAAGTAATGTAGAAGCGACAACTGTATGTACACGAGCTCTAAACGATGTTCTCTTCAACATTGTCATTACAAATATTTACTTTCTACATCCGAAAAAAAAATCTATATATTGTAAATTGCACAAGAAGAGTGCAATTTACTTAATTAGTTATACAAGCTTCAATGTTAATTTTATAAATTATATTTGAGGTACTTTTTTTTGTCATTATCACGTATGGAATCAGCGAGTTAGTGGCTATCAGTCTGGCCCAATTCCTAACCATGGACATGCTGTACTAGTGCGAATTTTAATAAATAATAAATAAATATATGCGAAGGGGCCCTTTTTCGGATTACGCCTCGGACCCCCGAAATCTCAGGCCCGGCCCTGATTACACGATATAACTGATAATTATTCTTAGTTCTTTGACGAGGTGTAGTCCTTGTCAATGAGATATTCGTTATATTAAGAAAACAGTACTTATCATGCTTCCCGCTTTATCTGTTTCCATTCGAAACCTGAAATGCACCTCGCGGACACATTTTGATTTATCTCGAAATACGTGTACTTTCCATAATCTTTTTATCTCTTAACCGGTCACTATCGGAAATAAACAATATTATAATTAAATTGCAAGCAACTAAGAACCTGTTGAATCTGCATAAAGATATGACGCAAATCTTCTCTTTTTTTAACGCTAAACAAATTACAGAACTGCGGCCAACCGCAAATCTTAATCTCGTTTCCTTGTCCTTTGCAAAATCACTTTCCTTTGAAACGAATTCGTATGACAAAATTCTGACGAATGAACTGATGGAAGGAAATCGAAAGAGCAAAATTAGGAAAAATTAATTAAGAACGTAGCACTTTGGATATGAGATTAGAATGGCACGGAAACGCATGCTTCAATGGAACTAGATACATGTTGCTGAGAACAGTTCAGATACCGCGTGAGCAAAAGAGAAAGGCGTGTTCCAGTTTATATCGACAAAGTTTTTGGAGTGTACCATTTCTTCGTGTCCCCAGCCGCGTCGAATTAGAAATGATTTATCAATTTTTCCTTATTCATAGCCTTGCAGGAAGAATAGACTTCGAACAAAGGAAGAAATAAACGAATGGTCATTTGACCGACGCACGACCCCGTCACATTCGCTTTGTAAGGAATTATCAACAAAGGAACGATAAAAGAGAGGATTGACTCACCGTTCAATTCTATTAGAATACGTAACTTGCTATCATTTGAAGACACCATATAATTTCACCGATAATATAAAGCTTGCTTAGAATAAAATAAAGCTTCTCCTTTTTACAGCTAATCCGAATAATAAATGTATTTAGATGATTTACGATGGCGATCGGTAATACAATTAACTTACCAGAAATTCTTAGAAGAAGCCAGGAATTTGTACTTATAGGTACTAAAAATTTTCGACATTTCAACGAGGTAGAATCGTACTTTCTACGTTCAACAACTTTGCACTCGCATTGTACAAATAAAATGTTTCACACTAACGTTATTAACAACAATGATCGTTAAAAATTAAATTTACACTGCGAAGAAGAGGTAGAGCATTTGTTGCACGCCTTTAACAGATAGAGCGATCAATAGATGACGATCGAGTTTCGATAAACGATCTATCCTATACTTTGATTAGAAACTATCACCATTGCGTGTCATCGTATTCGTCGAAACGTGATCGCTCAATAGCATTCTTCTATTCTTCTCTTTTTATCATCAGAGAGTAATTTGTAAAACAATTCTCTAGTAACTTATGCTTTCAATGTGATCAAATTACACTTGTATTATAATCTTCTTAAATATTACACATGAAAGCATTTACACTTAATTTTATTTTTTACAATGTTCTTAGGGTCAAGCACTCTTTTCTACTGGGTTTAAGTATGTTGGAACTGATATTAAGTAGTAAGTAATAGCAGTAAAAAAATATGCTCAACCTTGGAAATATTTAAATAGTTAAATGATAATAATGCAAGTGACAAATAGTAACTTGCACTCCATTTTCCATTTCCAGATAGCTACCAAATGTATGCCTTATTACATTAAGGTAGATGAACAAATATGATTATTTATTACTTACTCTTTTTTTGTAGATACCAATTCTACTTCTACCGATTTTCCTTGATCACTTTGTCCTGTAAAAAAATGATCAAATATAATTTACTTCATTTAACATAAATATTCCTTACAGTGAAATCTTAATAAAATATTATACAAAGAACTGTAGATTACCTATGTCAATTTTCTCAGCTTGATGATTATCTTTTGCCAATTTCTTTCCGCTGACCACCTCCATCTCAGCTGTAAAATATCAGAATAATAATTAAATCGCTGATACAATAAAATAAAAAATAAGAATACAGACAATGTCTGTTGATTCATCCATGAATCTGTCAAAGGATGAATTGAAATCTATGAGTGAATAAAGAAGAACTAACGTGTAATTTTAAGCATTAAATGAGTATAATTTATAATACATAAAGAAAAAAGTATATACCAGTGGATTTCACAATGGATCAGAACTGAATTGAATATTTTCATTAACATAAAAGATGTAACTTGTATTTCGGTCTATTCACTACTTTACGAATACTATGCACCACCGTAATGGCACACATCACTGGTAAAACTTTTTCGTTTACTATTCTCAACTATAAACATACACTCACTTTCAATTAGTCAATCAAAAAATATGCGTAAACATGTGGTTAGGTTAAAAAAAATTCTTCTGTTTCATACAGAACACCGCGGGCTGAATGTTCTTAAACGTCATTACAGTGATAATGCATTTAAAGTACAATGATAATGTACTTTATTTAGGTAACTTTATCACGATTCAAATAACAGTTTGTAAGTGAATAAAAACTATGTAAATGCCAGTGCAAACAGCACAAAGACAATGGTTTTCTGTTCGCACTGTGGCACCAAAGTGGTGCTTCACCAAGCTACTACCTACTACCATCACTGAAATTATTAAAGGTTTGGTTAGTTTCAGGTACATGCCAAATGAAATTGAAACCTGCGACCAAAAAACCAGAGAAATTTTATTTCTGTACTTCGGAATATTAAGTCATATTTAAACATGATTTAAGAAAGCTGAAATATAAAATGAGATTTCGCATATGCTAATGTAACTTTTCATACAATAAAATATTTGAAATGACATCTACTCTCAACAGCTGTTACCTTGTCAAAGCTCAACAAATAACATGATCGACATAGACAATTAAAAAATATATATAGTACCAGATGTTCACACGTTGCATTTTAAAGAAATGTTGTTCGTTGAATTTTTATTAATTTAAGTCAGATTATATAGGAGCCGGTACACACTTGTGAATCACAATCACATGAGTCACTTTCAAAGTGTGGTTATATTTATTAACCAATAAATGATAATCATAAAGAAATCACGGTGAAAAACACTGCAGAATAATATTAAAAAGACATCTGTTAAAGTAATGTGTTAGGCATGAATTTTTATTTTCTTATGTAAGATTTGGATTTGCATTAGAACCTTATCTTATCAAATTTTTTGGGCATGTGTTGTCATGTTGTATACATTTAACATTTTATTTCTTTAGGATGCGCATAGCGATGTCGTTAAACACGTTGATAGTAGTTATTGTTTGTAAACTACTATGCCTGCTTCTTCTTTTATCGATTTTTTTAATAATATGGAGAAAAAAATATTTCAAAAAGCGGGCAGAGAGATCACAAAAAGAAACAGTTGTAGGTTTTTTTCATCCATATTGTAATTCTGGTGGTGGTGGTGAAAGAGTACTTTGGGCTGCAGTCAGTGCTATACAAGCTAGGTACAAAAGCTTTTAAGTTAATTGATTAATAAATATCATAATTTTCATTAATGTAAATTCTCTTTTAGGTATTCCAATGTACACATAGTGATTTATACTGGAGATCTTGATGCTCATCCAGAACAAATTCTCAGTAAAACAGAAAAAGTATTTAACTATAAGATTGAACGCAAAATTGAGTTTGTATACTTACATAGACGAAAATGGGTGGAAGCTTCAATGTACCCCTATTTTACACTCTTGGGACAAAGTTTAGGATCAGTTTGGTTAGCCATTGAAGCTTTAAACAGCTATGTTCCAGGTGAACGTGTTTTTTATAACTTTAGTACCTTTGTCACGTATTAAACACCATATACCATTATAAAATGTTTATGAAATATAATTTCAGATATTTACATTGATACCATGGGTTATGCATTTACATATCCATTATTTAGATACATTGGTGGATGTAGAATAGCAACCTATACTCATTACCCAACAGTTTCAACTGATATGTTAAAACATGTTTATAGAAGAGTGATTTCGCATACTAATAACAGAGTTGTAGCTAGAAATCCATTTTTATCAGCTGCCAAACTGCTGTATTACAAATTATTTGGATATGTATGTAAATTTTAAAATAATTACATTATAAAATTATAATTTATAACAATAATTTCAGATATATGGTTGGGTTGGCAGTAGAGCTGAAATTATAATGGTTAATTCCACATGGACTGAAGAACACATTAACAGAATTTGGAAATGTCCATTAAAAACTCATAAAATTTATCCGCCGTGTGATGTGAAACATTTAACGTCGCTACCTCTTCTCAGTGATGATGAAAAATGTAATAGTATTCGTATAGTTTCAGTTGCACAATTCAGGCCAGAAAAAAATCATCCATTAATGTTAAGAGCCATGTATGAACTTAGATCGATCGTTAAAGAAGATGTTTGGGAGAAGGTAAATTTAGTATGACTTAGTAACAAATAGTGAGGAAAGGTAATTTTACGCTAATATTACGTAATTTTTTCAGATTCGACTAATTCTTATTGGTTCCTGTCGAAATTTTGAAGATGAAGCTCGCATGAAAGACATGCAAGATTTATCGAAACACTTTGCATTAGAAGAAAACGTGGAATTTAAATTAAACGTACCGTATTCAGAGCTTACCTCCGAACTTCAGAGAGCAACAATCGGTTTACATACAATGTGGAATGAGCACTTTGGGATTAGCATTGTTGAATGTATGGCAGCTGGATTAATAATGGTAGCTCATGCATCAGGTGGTCCAAAGTAAGGTTCTACTAAAACTATGGAATTAATACAATATACAGTTATAATACAAAGATAAAACTTTAATGACAATTTAAAATATTTATAGAGCTGATATAATAGTAACTCAACCTGGATCTCAGAATGGTTTCTTAGCCTCGGAAGCGGAAGAATATGCAAAAATAATAGCACATATTATTAATATGAATCCAGAAGAGAGGACTGCAATTAGGATGGTTGCCAGGTATGTAAATACAATATGCACACCGATTTGTAAAATTGTTTCTGAACAAAGTTACTAAATATTAACAATATTTCAGAGCGTCTGTAAATCGATTTTCCGATGAAGTATTTGAAAGAGAATTTTTGAGAACAATAGAACCATTCTTCAGGCAAAAACAGGAATAACTTCTAAAAAATTTGTTAATAAATGAATACGCCCTTCACATTCTAATAGCATTTATTACGCTATAAAACGTACAAACGTAATTGTTTACCTTATATATATTTGTTTTTATATCCACAGCCTTCGCATTCTAAAGCATAAGAGACGTTATCTTCATCTTCATTTTCGCGTAAGTTAAAGCGAAGATTGAAATCCTTTAACATTAGTTCGGCTACTTTTATGGCAGTTTCAGTGTGACAAGTAAGTTTCTTGCTTCCAAGATTAATTTTAGAAACACCTTCGGCTAGCGCCATTAAAATTATTAACTAAAAAAAGATAAACAATTATGCTATCGCATTACTTTAAAAATTATTCGTAATTAGTTTTCGGAAATATACCTGATCTTGAGCATGATCATCAACACAAGATCCTGCTAAAATTGTATCCAAAATTTCTTTAGCTGATTGTGTACCTGGTGGAATTTGTTCCTGACGCCCAGACCCCAATCCGGAACCACCAAAAATACATCCACTAGATGTTGTACATACCACACTAATAGCATTTATATTTGATTATTAGTTTTAACATATAAAACAAAATTGTTTATACCGCAGTTCACCAGAGTCCATAACTTCGGAAAGACCAGTTTTCGTTCTTCGCGCATCTCCAGTGCGCATCATCGCCCTGATTGGCGATACTCTCAAACGAAGTGGAAAGCGATTAGCAGAGAGCTCGTTGCGTTCCCCCACCATCTTCCAACCTGCGCGTCGCAGTTATGGACTCTGGTGAACTGCGGTAGACATACTTAGATATCTTACTTGATACCAGATCCATTTCCCACAGCTATTGATCTATCTTCTTTATAAGTTTCAATATGTATTGGTGGTAAGGGAATATTATGTTTATTTAAACCTTCAGTTAAAAGTGATTTGGCATCATTTGCCATTTTATAAGCTTCCTGGGAAAGCAGGAAACATTATGACTTCAAAAATTCAATTTTTAACACTGCAATTGTGTTACAGAAAGGAACAACAGACATACTTTAATAGGAACAACACCAGCAACATATGCCCATCCTGCTACCTCGCTAGGAACCCCTGGATCAGTTAAAGTAATAGCCTTCAATGATTGCACTGGTTTTATGTATAAATGTACCTCTCCACCTCCCTTTGGATAATAACCCCTCCATTGATTATTAAAAAGTTAATATTTTCTAAATACTATGAATAATTTCCATATAATTTGTACATATTAAACATACCTTGTTACAACATTGAAATCAAAATCAGCTCCAAATTTATTAAGTAATGGTCTCAACACTTCTCCAAGGTATTCTATATGGGGTCCCATAGGGACATTTGTGCCACCTTTAAGAATTAGTGTAATAGGCTGAGGGAAAAAGAGAGCACAAGGCAAAGCTACTTGAGCTAACAAACAAATGCAACCAGCGGTTCCTGTATCTACTAAAAATTTGTTTCTTTTATCTCCATTTAATTCATTAGGTTTAAATTTCAAAGCAGTTGATCCTATATGATCTCCTTGGACTTCAGCATTACACATATTCTTTAGTAGTTGTACTCCTGTAATAACATTCAGTTAAAAAAAAAATTTGATAATAAATGTAAATTTATGAAAATATACCTTTTAAATGCTGTGCAGCAAGGCCAGGTTTGGGACGACCCGCTCGTATGTTATTAATTTCAACTGGGATTTTATATAAAGCACTCAAACAAAGTGCTATTCTTAACACTTGACCACCCTATTTTCATGAAAAATATTAGATTTTAACAGTAAAATACTTTAATGTTGAAATTGAAGCTTATCGATTTTATAACCAAACTCATTTGATACAACGAATATTTGTAAAATACTTACACCTTCCCCTAAGCTTCCATCAATTTCTATTGAAGACATTGTGCGAATGACACAATTTCGTGTATGAGATATACGTGTTATCTTGTAGAATATCAGTTTTCTTATAAAGTTTAAACGACACTGAAATATATTTAGTAGCTATCACAGAAATGTTTTCTCTGCTGATTTATACTACTTGTTAAATTAATATATTTGTATATTTATACATTTGAACGTTCTCAGTGATACTTCGTTTAATACATTGCAGTGGTCATGCGCAAATTCAATTCTTTATAGTTTACTATCAGACGGCAGGTAACCTGTTTGCATTTGTGGTTAAAAAGTGATAAATATTTCAGTTTATTAGTTTACGATTAAACTGTGTGTTAATTGTTTTTCAGTATTTTTATGGAGATAGAGATAAGAGCCTGTTATTTCGTGCAATTACAATTGTCGGTGTAACATTACTTGTCATGTCTGACAAAGGAGGAAACGAATCTGTCACTACCAATGAAATTGTTGACAAGTCTGAAGAAACGGGAGAAAATTTAACAAACGAAGAAGCACCCACGAGTCTCGAGACTATTCCTTCTGAAACACCTTTAGTTCGAAATGGAACTCAGACTGCTTCCAAAGACAAAACGAAAAGTAATAAACACGCCATAATAGGATAAAAATAAAGTGATGGTATTATGTATAGAAGTAAATTTATTAGCATTCCGTCGATTTTTCAGTCGATATTTTATTGAAAGCAACCGCTAATGCTCCGATAATGAAACAGAAGAGATGGACTGTCAGTCAAGATCAGTGTATCGGTAAAATTTCTGATTTCGTGAGAAGATACCTGAAACTAGATTCTAACGAAAAATTGGTAAGCGATAAAAAAGGATTGTGTTCATTTCTTTGATGCGTAAATATTTTATTTTTTTACTTTTCCTCGCTAGTTTCTTTATGTAAATCAAACATTTGCACCTGCGCCGGATCAAGTGGTGAAAAATTTATACAACTGTTATGGAGCAGACGGAAAACTAATACTTCACTATTGTAAAAGTCAAGCGTGGGGTTAAATGCTTCTTGAAGGTATATCAACATTGTCTTGTTTGGACCTGTATCGTTAAATGAATAATTAAATGTTTCGTATCGTATATTTTCTCTATATATTAATAAATTCATTGTAAGTATTTTGATGGTTGTTATTTTAATTGTAAAATCGTCACAGACCGCGCTCGTTCATCGAACAAAGCAGAACAAAGTAGCGAAGTTACAAGTTTCGTCGCTTGTTGGCGCCACGAGGTACTTTGAGAAGGATGTAGGGATACAAGATAATTTATAATCTCCAAGTAAGCACAAGTAAGTACTTATGTATGCATACATACCGTGTATACCTTGATGTTCATAGGTGAACGTTTAATGAAACGTTGACAAGGTATTCCTATATCGAAAGCTTATACTGTATTCACAGTATTTCCAGAGCGCCGTTATCGAGGTCAAAGACTTGAACCCGTAGTTTTCGAGTATGCAGTGTAAGATTTTTCGGGGTTGCGATGAAAGTGTTGTCGTTAATCCAGGTTGACGGAGACGATATACTCTTTCGTACGCTTTTAGAAATTGCATTTTGTTCGCTTCTGTAACATCAATAAAAATCGATAAACTTTTCCATCCATCTTTCGTTTACTCGTATTCTACAATACAGGTAGGAAGATTGATTTATCTTAAAAGGTCGATGCAAATATTAAACTATAAGGCAGTTGCTAAATAATAGATTTATTTTCTCATCCAATAACGGTACTTTTGTTTACAAAAGAAAGGGATAAAGGCGGACGAGGGAAAGGGCTGGTAAATAAACTTATATATCTGATAGAAATTGGCAGCGCCAAGTTAATTAAATATCTAAATGTTGTAAACTAAAGTAACGCGTACGTTTCGTCGCTTCAATCTCGCATACACAATTTCCATCTTTGGAGATTTACGTAAATGACGGACGAATGAAAATCACGAAAAACCCGTGATCCATGGAGAATGTAATGTTATTATGTTACGTGTAAATATCTCATGTCACAGAATGCATGCGCGAATACGCCATTACTTATAGATACATATACATATACGTATATGTATATATACCTACAATCTATATCTATATCTATATTTATATCGATATAATCTCGGCTTTGCCCTTTGTACGTCATAATACATGAAAAAAAGCGAGTAAACGAAATCGATGCGGTCGCGTGATGCGTGGTGGGTGGTTCGTGATTGGTGGTGCGTTGTGCATGGTCAACGAGTTCGTTGTAATGCTAGATGACCGTAGATCGTTTATTTTCTCTGACTCGGAAGGTATTGATCGGTGATCATTTTGGCATGACAATTTTTCGTTTTATACGTTCGATCGAAAAACAAAGATTTGTACGACATTACCAATAGATACGATCAACGCGTTATCGACGAATAGTATCACGGTCGAAGAATTTCAACGAATTAAAAATACATAATAATAGCGTGAACCGTCTAATTGCCGGCGGATAATTAAAATCGAACTGACCAAATATCAGAGATAGAGGAAGCATTAAACGAGAGAGAGAAAAATAGTACGCGTAATTCGGACGCGCTCAAACGATACATACGAATTTCGAAGCGTGTTTCGTGCTTGCTGACGTACAGCGTATACAGGGAACAAAGCGGAGCAAAGTTCAGAGAAACAAAACAGTGGCGCCGAGTCGGTTTGAAACGAGCTGCCGAGTCAAGTTGCGTCTCGTTCGGTTATTTAGTGAACTTTAACGATGCCACCGGCCCCGTAGGCTCCAGCGAGCAGAGCCTGCGTACCGTACAGAGATCCTTGTCTCAGTCCAAGTCCCAAACCGAGTCCAACCAGTCCCGCGTTACCGGCCACCAAATTAGCCGTCGTCAGGGCTTGACCAGTCAGCAGCGGTTGTCTCAATAAAGCTTGTCCACCTAACAGCGTAGCCTGCGGAACGAACGCGTTTGTTTCAACGTTTACGTATCGAATCGGTGGACGGATAGAGGTGGAGAACGAACCTGAGGGCGGACAGCGACTGTGGCACCAGGAGAGGCCGCAGCGATAACCGATTGGCGTCCGAGTACAGGGGATGCAACGACAGGACGCACTGCTGCGGCGGTTGCGACTGGTGCCGCGGCAACGGCTGTCTTTACCGTGATGCTAGGGTCCTTTTGTACGATCGCGTTGAAACCGTTGATGGGATCGGCAGCGTAAGAAACCACGCGACGGGAACCATCGGGCTCGATTAAACTGTAACTACCCTGTACCACGTCGCCATTACGAGTTTCCTCTTGCGCCTTGTTATCACCTGTAGAAAAATATTATTTTTATAACAACCGATTTTCTTTCGGCAAGCAATCAAATACGTACCGGTAAGACCGTCGGCAACGCTGTAGCTGAAACTGTACTGGGGATTTGGGTCGAAATTTTCGGTTCGAACGACCGCAGCCTGTGGAAGTGCTGCCACGGTTGCTGCGCCGGGAGCAATTAGTCCCGCGCTTGACCCAATTATTCCTGCACGGGCGACAGTTAGGAAAGCGACCAAAACACCGATAATCTGTGGAAATGAAACGAGATTAATGGCGAAAACGGTTTAATCGGATGTTTTGCTATAACGTTAAACAAAAAGGTAACGATCAGAATGGAAGCGTAGAGTGTAATTACTTTGCAATCCATTGTGATGATTAAGTGAATACCGTTCCGATGGTTCTTCTCCAACAACTGCGTACCGTAGCATTTCGGTAGCGTGGATTTTATACCAATTGCCATCGGTTGACCCCACCCTCGACTATTCTTCGGTGACACCTTCCACCCCACCGCATCTCGTATCAACCTAATGTTGTAATGTTCTCGTTCTTCGTGTATCTGATATCATCTATGCATCTCTATATGCACAGACTGCGCTTGTTTCTCTGTTAGACGAAGGTGTAAGAAAATTCCATTTCAAAATGCTTTTTGAAAATCAATATTGAGAGTGGATATGGGTAGAGAAATGAAAATAACGCACAAGAGATACAAACGATCGATTATATTTAATAAAATTATAAAAATATAAAATTGTAAAATTTCTCGGTGGTAAATTTGACAAGCGATTATAGGGTTAACAGCAACCTTGAGACGGTTAAAAATGAAGAGGGTATCCTGTGATATACGTAATATCGAATTCTGTTGTCCCAATTATGGTAAAATTGTGAAACTGTGGATAGAGAAATCTAATACACGTCGGGACACCGTGCAAGCGCAAGATCGCAAGTTAGCTGATACTAAGGTGAACTAATATGTATAATTGGTATCATTGCGACATTGAGTAACGAAATCTTAACGTCAATGGAGATATCCTGCATTTCGTCCATGTGGGTCACGTAACTCTAGGAGTATCTCAAGGAATCGCGTGATACCGAGCTGTCCGTTTGCGTAACTTTATTGTATCCTACCATCGATCTAATCTAGCGCAGGTGAACAGACTGTCGGATGTGTGCGTACGTGTAATCGTGTATAATACGGGAAATTGAACGATTGCAAATAACGCGTTCTGTCGAGCCCTGTAAACTATACGACACCAGCTTACACGAGTGGCAGTAGGGATTTTCTGTCAGCTGGATATAAAGAGCGAGCATCGGTTGCTTCGAGTATCGTAGGCTGTTGGGTTGCCGGTTGTAAAGTAACATCGCGAATCGTGTAATAACGGACCTCGTAAACGAGTACCATACCCGTGAATCTTTCAACTGGCAGAGTCTTTTATTCGATACCAGTTATTCTAGCTTCCATCGTTACGCGCCTCTCAATTATTCCACTCGATTCAAATCGAATCCGATTTACTTCGATTTGTTCGATCACCTCGACCAGGTAGTACGTACGTAACGCTGAGTCGATTAAACGTACGGTATAGATACAGGACGTAATTAGATAATCCGTCAAATCAATTCTAGCGGCGAGTGGTCGGTCAGGGTGTTCGATCGGTCTTGCCGATACGCTTCGATTTCGGAAACGAGCAGACGTAGGAGAACGCGTGAGATATCGTCCCCGGCGGCAAAATGGCGCATAGCATGAGAATCGGTTGGATCATTCGTAGAAATTTCAATACCCATAGATCGGTGAACGCAGCGGCTAACGCGCTGGTGATCCAAGGCGCGTCCATCAATAGATACAGTTTCAAGAAAAGAAAATATCGCGTTTTCACCGTATTGGTTTTGAAGCTGCTACTCTCGGTCGCGAGCTTCGTTGACTTTTGTATAAGTATCATTTTGTACGACGTGTAACAAAAAAGTACGGTGTTCGACAGACAAGCTATAACGGGCAAGGTCGTCACGTAAAGAATAACAGCCAAATTCGCGCCCTCGAATTGACTGAAATTCGGTCTGGCTGGGGAGGATATCGGTAGTAACGGGGTGAGTTCCACGATTCCAACTATAACAGTCGGTAATAACGAACCGCCCCACGCCCAACCGGCGTACGTAACAAATTTTTCCTTCTCCTCTTCCTGGTCCGCGCTGTTCGACGATGCCCAACGAAATCTCGTGATAACCAACGTCATGTCTATACAAATAACCAGCAGCCAGAAAGTCGAGGAAATCGTAAGAAACATTATTAACAATCCCAGAATCGAGTAAACGTTTGAATGAATCGACACGTGACATAAGATGCAAGCTCCGATACCGATCAAAATTGCGTTCAAAATGAGCTGCGACACGTTGTACCACAATACGGCTTTGTGATAAGCTCGAGTGCTTTTTCTCAGCACGGCTAGATAGATCGACACGACGATCGCATACGGAAAGATGTAAATGATGTTTGCGAACACAACCATATTGGCACCCCAGAAATTTAACGAGCTAAACACACTCTCGCAATGCAACGCATCTTCGTTCTCCTCACTTTTATTACTGTTCCCAGCGAACGTGCGGTTTGCCTGTTCATCTTCGCTGCCATTCTTCTTCCGGTCCTTCCAAATTCGAATAGTCTGACCGTCGGAGATGCAGGTTTTGAAACATCTACGTCTTGGATTCGCTTTCTCGTCGAGATTTATGTATTCCTGCTCGTTCACCGTTCGTTTCGGCTCGACTTCCAATTCGAAAAGACCTGAAACGTATTCGTGATTATTTAGATTAGCCATCGGATGCTCGCAGAGGATTTCAACGGGCACGAGCTGCATTATAATTTATAATATCGTACTCACTTTCGGAGCAAACCGAACAGCATAGAGTGTCGAATGCGTTACCCAGAGAATGGTACGATACCACGGTCAATGTATCGTTCAGTGTCTCGAGGTCGCATCGATTTTCACGGTCATCGATGACGTCGATGTCGTGGATGCAACATTTTTGTAGAAATTCTTCGCTCGATTCGGTCCCGTTGTACGCACAATGCACCAGTGTACGAGTAGTATAAAGTAATAGTATCAGGACACTTTCCGTAAACATACGGGTATAATCGAACACGAAGAACGATGAAATATACCTCGCGGACGTACGATTTTCGTGAAATTTTCTTTCTTAAATTCGTGAAATTTCATACATTTCTTTCCCCGTCTCGATTTTCTATCGAAGACACTGCGGCTAAATGCGCACTAACCACTGTCATTTTCCTCCTTATTATTTTCCTTCCTTTGGATTTTTTCACGACAATGTTGTCTGTCGTTTCCTCCTTCTTCGCGAATGTCCTCCCTCCCACTTGTTATCTTCCGACTTACTCATTTTTCCCTTTCTTCTGTTCTTGTATCACCTCCCCTGGACTCCGCCCATCTGGGCTTCTCTATCACACATTTTCTCTTCGTTAACACAGGAATTTTAATTGATTATCGTAATTAAGCTTTTCAGCGATCGTAGATAAAGTGGAAAAGATCGAAAATTCAGTGTATCAAAGATTTTTCATTGAATAGTGTTGCGCAATTGTTTTCCTCGTCGGGATTTCCCGACAAAAAGAAAAATCTCATCCTCTGCGAATAATTCTGTGTTATTCACCGTGTCAGCAATGACAAGGATACGTGTAGACGTGTACAAGTATTCTTGAAAGATTTTATCGAAAGTGCTCGATCGTAGGAGCTTTTGACTCGATGGTCTCTGATAGCTCTTTATATTTTTCATGCCTCACAAAGTATCTGTTACGTATAGATATACAGTCGATTGTTCTATGCATATATTTTTGACGACTACTTCAGTACGTAAATAATAGAAAAAAATCGCAGCGTTTCCACAAACCGTTTCCAATAGCAAATAGTTTTTCGATGGATGATCTATTTTCGCAAGATCGACCCTTCCACCCGAAAGATCCAGCCTATGGGGCATTGAACTTCGATATCGGAGCTTTAAACGAAACCCAGATAAAGAAATTGAATTTAAGAAAAGCCACTGAAAGGTACAACAATGACATTTATCTGAAAAAGCATCCAGAAATCAGAGGGTTGATCGCGATTTTACTTAGGTAATTTATTTCACTCGACCCCAATAAACACGTGCGCTATTAATTATGTATGCGTGTACTTGTTACATGTAAATTATCTTTGCTTTAAACTGAATTTTTGCAGACACGTGTTGCATGTACAACCTTCTATGGACGTTCACGAGACGATAGGTGAATTTTTTAATAGGCCGCGTGATCAAATACTGATGGATCTCTTAGAATATGGCTTTCGCACCGGACAAACGTTTAACATAAAAACTAGATTACCAGCATCGAGGAATATCGATCCACTAGATAATATCCAAATTTCGTGTCCGATTCGTTGTAACAAATAGTAGGGAAATATATATCCTTTTGACAGTGACCGATATCACCTCGGGTATATTTAAATTTATTTTATACTTTTTAAACGGAATTAATCGAGCCTTCCAAAACTGATCGCATTTTGTATGTACATATAAACGCACGCGAACCCGCAATGTACGTACTTCTGTCAGATTTCCGGTTATTTACGAAAGGAAGTTTACGATTGTTTGACCAGTTGCACCCACCGTTTCCGGTATCGTCACCGCATTCGTCCGTTATTGTCTATTCTCGTGTACCATCATCCCTGTTTTACCTTTATGTACGTATTACGACTAAACGTGTAACAATTACATTAAAGGTAAAAGTGTTAAGTAAATGTGATTTCTTATGATATCATTGAAATAAATAAGTGAAACAAAGGGTAAATAATAATTGTAAAATGGAAACGATCATTGTCCGTGTGATAGACGATAATTAAATGCAGCACGATATGAAATGATCGTTACATAGTACGATTAGTTGTGAATCATAATTAATAATCAACGTATAGACCCAACTATGACGACAGTGATAACACAACGACAGTGACATATTAATTAGAAGAGAATATAAGGGAATTTTAATAGCACATTGATTGTTTGGATGAATACCGTGACTGTAAGTCAGTCCAGCTTAAATAACCATGATAATTATTGTAAATAAAAATAAAGGAATAAAGAGAAAAAAAAATGTGATATAAATGTGTGCATAAAATAGAGAATCCTGGATCCTACATAGAGAGGATCGACGACTTGTGAGAACGGCATGAACGAAGCGCCGAAGCGAATCCGAGATTGAACGAGAATAGTCGAACATGGCCGAGGAGTCGCGTGCTGCTCCAAAAGAATTTCTCCATCCTCAGTCGTGACTCGGTCGTCGCGGTGAACGGATCGTTAACGAAGGGGTTGTGTTTGTGTGATATTTAATTTTCTGCATTCGACCGCGCTCGCATACACGCGCACACACACGCGTGCGCGCTCGCGCGCATAATCATTGTATATTCGAGAATCGACTTAATTCTTAGTAGAAAATGGCGGATACTATAAAGGGTGGAAATATTAGTCGTTCGGAGTGCCAGGGAACGACGCGCAGCTTGACAGTTGACCAAAACGAAACGGAACGATCGATTTTGGATGGAACGCCATTCTTCGAGAAAACGAGATCAATCGTCTGAATATAGGCGACTCCAAGGAACGTACGAAGATCAAACAAATGGATATAACGCGTCTAGTATAAAACGCGTCGCGTGAGTGTTCTTAAATCGTACGTACAATTCGTCAGTGGCAATGAGGACGCGCTACTTGGATCGATGAAAAATGTTTGAATAGTTGTTTCGATTTTCGAACGAAGATGAAAGTGTAGCGGGAAGGAAGGCTCGATATCCGGCGAATCGGTGACACTTTTGTTTTCTTCTACGTGGGTTTACGCGTACGTGTGCACTGGTCCGTACCTGTGTGCGCTTTATTTTTAATACGTATATGAGGCTCTGCGTGTGGATGCGCGCGCGCGCGCGTGCGTGGTGCCGGACGATGTCAGAAGTTCGTCGTACGAATGCAAGCGTCACTTTTATTCGATAAGAATGGGATTGCTGGTGATTGACCGACGGTCAGTGCTTTAACGTTTCGCGCTACTTTATGCGAATGTACTTAGCCACATATACGCGAACTCTGACCAACACGTATACTCATGTATAATGTATACGTACCTTGTGTATGTACACACACACACACACACACATACATACGTAGTTGCGTAGGTGTTTAGTGCGCGTGGGTGGGTATTGGGTATGACGTGGGTGTGGGTGTTTGTTCCTCGTACGTATGTACGTACGCGTATTTTGTGGCAACGTGTAATGGCATGGAAATGAGGCGCGCGCGAGTGTCATCCCGAAGAAAGATACGCCTCTCGCCTGGAAAGCTACTCTGTGCACGAAAACCGAAAGGAGAATCCTCCGGCGAGTGGTGGTCGTTATTACCGATTTAACCTCATCGACGTCGAGTGTGTGCATTTCTCCTGTATATATTTCATTCCTTCTTTATCCATATTTGGTGCGCGTTTGTAATTACCCGGTAATTTCGACAGCATGCTTTAACGCTGGCCCCCTTCCCCCCTCCCCAACGATCGAACGGGGTCTAGTGATTCGTGAGTGACACGAAGAAACTCCCAGCATCTTTCGGTATCGGAAAGAAAAATGCGCAACGGGTGGCTAAGGAACTTGTTCGCGACAGCAATTTTCGCCCTTATGGTTCACGGTAAGTTTTTCATTATTTTAATTATTATCCCTTTCTATTATTTTATTATCCTTATCTATTACAACGCTCTCTGTAATTGAAACACAACTATGCGATTTGAAATTCCCCATGCGTCGTTTTCTTTTACAAGAATTACCGACAGTCGGTGCCGCTTCTCTAGCGAACCAATATGAATTTAATTGAATATTTTTGTAGCCACCGATTGATATGTTGTTACATATATACACATGTTCGAAGTTTACTGAAAATGAGTTCAACCAGAGATATTTCTTCTTTTACGACGGCTCGTTCTCAGACACGAGATAACGAACGAGCCGAGGAACTGACAGAAATGGTAGAGTTACTTGGAGATAAATGATTTGTTCGCGAGCTGAATTCGTTGAATCAGCCTTGTTAAAAACAACAACGGAGAGGAATCGCGGTCGAGTCACCTAAAATCCGTCGCTTTAGAAACGATTATTCCCGACCATTATCGATTACCACGTACACACCATTTCCGTATTGTAACATTTAGCAAACTATATCATTTGATCAATCATCGCGTAGAATCGATGGTTGATGCAGTAACGTGAAATTTGTCGTTTGTCGTCCTTCTCGAACTTGCATTCGACCTCTGAACGGATTATACGTATACCCGTATATTGTTCCATTAACGGCGATCACGCAGGTAGAAGGTAGAGATTAGTCGGGTTGTTGTGATACGAAGAGATTGATTCGTTTCGAAGACATAATATGCAGGCTCCGTAACCTTGTATTTAGTCTCCTGCAAAGCGCGTGTAAGAAAAAGGAGTAGGACGATGTTTAAAAGATAATCTAGATGTTTAAGTAAAACACGTGGAATCGATTTACCGTAAGAATCTACGGCAGCACGAATCTGGTCAGCGATGTTTCTTAAACTGAATTTTAACGTACGTATTTTTCTGTTACAATTAACGGTAGAATGTAATGAAATTGAAATTTCCGAAGAATCGATTAGGTCGATAGAAATTTCCCGTTGATTGTATCCTAGCAAAAAGATACGCTAGGATGCTGGTTGGTCTATTTTTGTGGATGGAAAGTCTTACGAAGATGGCCGAGTTTAGCCGACGTTAAACGAAACTATTAGGTTATGTGCGATGCTGTGCAACGAACCGATGCAACGAGTTTACCGATGCATCTCGCATATGTATCTACTTACACACATATATACGTACAATTGCATTTTAATTGAATCACAATGCGTGCCATCGATTGCATTAAAATTATCCACATTTACGTCCATTTCCTGTTCCTCGTATTTATTCTATCGTGATTGCAGAAAGGTAAATTTTCGATATTTGATTTGAACAAAATGGACGCCCCGTGATGGAGGAGAATAAAAATTCATCGTAGTTTGAATTTCCAACGATCTGCCGTATATTCTCGGAAGTACGATAGCTTTATAAACCGCTTACCATAGAATACTATTGATAATTAATAACCCTGTAACGGTACTTAAAAATAGCTTGCGTTATAATTCCCGGTGTATCTTGGAACTGTATAAACCGACCGGCCGATTGTGCTACTTGCAGAAGAGAAAATGGACAGTTTAAAAGGATCTGATTTGATCTGATTTTTCATCGTCGATCGCTTCTCTGAACGATTAATTCAAAGGAAGAATCGGCTCGTTGATTTTTCTTGAACGTAATGAAGCCGTTATTTCTTTTTCGGTTGTTTTTTTGCTTCGCGAGTTGAGACGGCCGAACTCGGAAAGACTTCGAGTAGGGTGTGTCGGTGGAACCCTCTTGGAAGGTTCTCCGCGTCTTAGGTTTCCCTCGCGTCTCAAGGAATTCAATGGTTATTCCCGTTTCGTCTTCTACCTTCCCCTCTTACAAGAATATCCTTCTTAGGGATCGAAGGTAATGAAACAGTTTTTCTCTTTTTTCCCCCGCCCTGATCCCTTGTTCTCTCTCCGGCACGCAAGTTTTCCTTATACGTATATATACGCACGACGGGTTTCCTGCGTGCCCGATTATCGGCCCGTCCGACGCGTAAATTACGATAACTTTGAAATATTACGGATAAGTAAGAATAGTAATTTGCCGAACTGTACGAATGCTTTCAGAATAGAATGCTCCCTTTTTCCTTCTTTTCATCTCTCCCCCCTCTCTTTCTCTCTGCAAACGATATGGTTTTGGATGCACGCCAAATGCAGTTTGGTACTTGGTACTTTTTGAAGTGTCTTCTGTTCTTCTGCCTTCTTTTCTGACTTCATCGACTTCGCTGCTCTTTTTCAAACGTTCAACCCACCGTTCCATTTCTCTGCTCCATTTTCCACCGTTCGATATCGTTGTATCGGGAACAGAATCGTGTTTAATTAACTCGGTTATTTTTTTTTTTTTTTTTCATCGATGGCTGTACGTTTCCCATGAATTATTCAACGAGGAGGGAATATTTTTAAAACAAGTTATAACCAGCTATATAATTGGATAGCGCGTGAATGTGTACACAGGTGTAGATAGATAGGGTGAAATGGAATAGTCGCCAAGGGATAAGATGGTCCGAGAGGGAAGAAAAAAAGGGAAACGTTTTAAAATGAAGAAAAAAACGGGAGACAGAAGCGATAGGAGCAGAAGATGGGAAAGTAAGGAGAGACAAGGGATTTATAGAAGAGGCGAAAAGAGAAAGATTGTGAAGATATAAGGAAACGGGAAGATTCGGCGGTGGCACAGCTGGTAGGAGGCAACGAAGCCGGCGAAAGCAGTAAAACTAACAGAGGCGAAGCAACAGCGGCAAATCAATACTCTGGTTGCAGTTGCGAAGTCATAAGCCAAGTCATCGTCTATCGGAGCATTCTCTTCTTTTAATCTCTCTGTATTTCCCTGGCACCGCCGCTGAAATTAGCCGGTCTATGCATTTTTCTTCATTCTAACCCACGGATAGAGAACCATAATTTTTGACGAGTTTGAATTTTAATTAAATTGGAATTAAAATTCTGAAATCCCCAAGTTGGTCGATTTCGACAGCAAGGCGAGGAGGAACAATTACCTGGAAATGGAACGGAATGAAAATGAAGAAGGAACGGAGTAGAATGGAAAGGCGAATGATAAAAATGCGATGATAAAGGAAGGAAGAAGATGGATGCGATAGGAATAGAAAAGGAATAAGAGTGACAGCCGGTTGGCAAGGCAGGTTGCTGAGATAGCTTGATTCGCAGAAGGTTAGAACTGAAATGAAACGAGATGCCTCGGGCCTACGGAGCGCAAGAACTGCGAGTTTGTTCGCGCGTGCTCACGACTCTGTTCAACAGCGAAATATGAAAACTCCGGAGGCGATTTTAATTTAGCCACAATGTCTATTGTTTCCGAGTGCTCGGGCGAGAGGACAAAAGAAAAACGTACAATTGTCTCTGTACATATACGTATCCGAGTGTTTGTGTTTGGACGTGCGTTAGTTTTCTATCGTCCAAACATACCTCCCTTTTCCATTTTTTAATTTACTATCGAAACCTTTTATCGTTTTTCCTAGATCGATGTAAAATTTCCGTAAGATAGCTATACGTTATTGCACGATACCGATTTATTCGAGGAAGAAGACCGTACGTCGATCGGTGAAACGATCTCGCAGCCCGGAATTCGAGTAAACGTTGTTGCGGATGCAATACGTATCTCGGATGCCTCTGCATCGAACGTTTGCGTCTCCCGAGTAGGATTTGCAGACTGCGCGAAACGATCGTAGGCTACTCGCGGTCTATACGACGTATCTATACGTTCCAAGAATATTTCAGAATCCGTGGATCGGTATCGAGATAGCTGAAATAGCTTCGTTCGATTGCGGAAGCTAGTAACGTAAAGCTGGGATTGCTTTCTATCGTTCAATCAACGATTCGGAAGCTGCTCTTATTTACTATCACTTGCCTAGTATCCTAGAAACTTAAACCTTATTATTAGTTTTATTTTTCTCAACTACCTTCTACCTATGAATTTCGCTTGGTATGAGCCGTTTGAAATTGTTGTTTCAGGGCAGTTGAGATCACCGCGTATAACGGAACATCCTTCGGACATAATCGTGGCGAAGAACGAACCGGTAACGTTGAATTGCAAGGCAGAGGGTAAACCTCCGCCGGTGATCGAATGGTATAAGGACGGTGAGCTGGTACAAACGTCACCGGGAGATGCGAAATCTCATCGTGTTCTTCTGCCTACGGGATCCCTTTTCTTCTTAAGGGTAATGCACGGGAAAAAGGAGCAAGATGGCGGTGTTTACTGGTGCGTAGCGAAAAATCAAGCTGGCTCGGTTCCGAGTCGGAACGCTACCCTTACCGTAGCAGGTAAGTCCCATTTTTTTTTACTTCTCCCACAATTTCTACATTCCACGAACGAACTGAGAGTTAAATTTATACCGATCCTAATTTTAATTAATTGATTCACCCGTCGGAAAGTGGCTAATCCACCCCTGGGCGTATCTCGTCGTTTGCAATAACAGTTTCTTAAAATAATCGACGGTAACGCCGCGTGTACGTCCTTA